AATATACTCGAATTTTAATGAACCATGTACATAAATTAATTACGCAAATAGAATAAGAATATTATAAAGGCAGATTCAAAATTGACTGTACAAGGCGTAAAATACCGGAATGCTATTTTGCAGACATTTTGTGAGCAATATAAATTATAAATTTAGATTTCTGCGAAATCTCTTTCTCTCTAGCTCTTTCTGTGTGTGTCTGTCTTATAATATTCAATTATACCGCGAATCTTTCAGGGATGTATTAGACGAGAAAAGACGACTTGTGAAATAGTCTTTTTTTGAAATGACGCCCACAAACTCTGTCGCACGCGGACAAAGGAAAAAGCTGAATCATTCACGACGCTGTTTATTTTGCTGCAAGAGAATATTGATGCGCCACGTGTGCAGCCTCGTTTCATGAAAGTACGACAATCGGAATTTCCGAATCTGTATTACGCGATGCATTCATTGTGTTCTGTAAACCTGATTTGCACAATATTAGGAATTAATGTCGTTATTATATATATATATATATATATATATATATATTCCGTATTTTATTTTTTCACATGTATTTTACACATTTATATATTTAACAAATTAATTTCTTGCCTTTGCCATTGCAAGTTATATAAATGACGATACAAATTTCTTTGTTTCATTACTTCCTACTTTTAGGAAAATTTAATATCGTAGGTTAGTGTGATTAATTATTTATTTTGAGTATTAAAAACGTCGTTGTTAGTGCTTTGAATACTCAAAATAAGTAATTAATCATCAACCAATTCAAACTTACAGTATTAAATTTCTCTAAGGGTAATTCAATGTCAATGCTAAAATTGAAAAAATCAAACGTTTGCGGATATAGTGTCTTATTAATTATAGAAATAGGTATATAGTAAGACTAGATAGTGGTTTAGTAATTAAAGTAATAATAGTAATGGTATAGAATATTATAATATGGAAAATCTGAGATGGTATTATGTCTTTGACATGGTTGCTGTTACGAATGGTCTCACAAAAGATTTTGAAGATACATGGAGTACGGTCATAAATATTATTCACGGTAGTTTCCAGTGAAAACGTTACTCGAAATTATTAACCACGCTGGAGACTCCTTTCGAAAGGCCAGAAAGTCCCCATGATCCATCACGAAATATGATCATATAATTAAAGCTTGATGAAATGAGGACTTTAGTAATATGGGTGATATCTTCTGGGGGAGGGGGGGGAGGTAAGTTGCTCGACGAAGTTTCAAGGCTCACAGTCAAAGTGTCAGAATTAGCATCCCGTTTCATCCTCATGACAACGCCCATGAAAGTTGCTAATACAATAGTTACTCGCCGCCTGTTGCACTTCAACATGCACACGGAGAGAAAGAGTGAGGAGGACGGGAGAGAGTTCGCTTTAAGATCCAACAAGTGGTTCGTCTGGGAGTAACAATGCTTCCTAATGTACTAGCTTTTGCCATTGTGTCGGCTCGGATGCGCGATCGGTCCTCGACGTTGGCGACCTTCGATGTTGGCGACGTCAGTACGGAGAGAGTTGCGAAAGCCAAAACGAATTTGGCTCAACATCTAGCTACGTACTCGCTAATGTTTCAAATAATCTCTTTGAACCTTTCCTGTGTGATATTGGCGCACGCGTGTGCGTCCTATGAGTGTGTATTTACTTAAATTTATTCGCCGTCGAAATTTCATATTTCATTAAGAGGAACATTATCACATATGTATCTTTACATTTTGATCATTTAATTAGTCGCAATCGAAAGTACCATTAAGATTTATACATTTTTAATTTACCATTAAATTGAATTAATTGCGAAATATGTGATTAAAAAGTGCTACGTACATGTAATATAACATATATGAGCAAGTTTAGTTTATAGAATACAAAAGCTGCACAAAAAAATTATTAGCTTTGCTTCAAAGCATGCGTCTGTATAAAGTATTTAAGTTGTAATAAAATTTTTTAGAGGATATCTCTTTTTTATAACATAAAGATAAAAAATTTTTAATAAAATTCCATGGTCTCGTATATATTAAAAAAATATTAACGATCAAGGAGAATTAGGAATTGAGAAATTCTTTGCTTTCCTGAAGATATCCGAAAATTTTAATAAAACTTAAATGTTTTTATTATGTAAATCTAAATTAACTTCTTGATTAACAAATTGTGTTTGCATTGGCATCATTGAAACGAAAGAACCTTAGATATTTTACGAGGAGACCGATAATCTTGTGTCTTATGGAATTATAATCGACATTGATCGAGTGCTTCCGTAACAGAAAAAGAAACGATATAGACCTCGTAAGTTTTTTTATAGAATTCTCAGAATCGCAACGTGCGTCACGCTCGTAAAGACTTTAAAATTGACTCGTGCGGATATAATTTTCCAAGTCAACAATTCTGATACAAATTAATAAAGTTGCCTCGATAACTAATTTGCGCAAAAAGAAAATTTTATAGTATTTTAATGTCTTTATTCTATTATGATATCTAAAAAATAAGAGACGCGAGAGAGAATTTAATTTCAAATAATAATAGAAATGAGGAAGAACAGAGTATAAGGGAAGAGATAAAAAATGTAAAGCAATAGAAAAAGAACAAGTTAGGATTATTATCAATTTATTTAAATATTAAATGTTAATTAAATAACAAATGCTTGTATTAAATGTTACGATTAAATCTATATACAAACGATATTTTTGCTGTGAATATGCATCGCGCTAAATAAAACATTCACTTCGCGTTAATCGAGATTATCTCGCCTACTATGAACCTCGTACAAGCGCGATAATTAATTCGTGGATTGCATTGGTAATCATTCACTCATTAGCGACGTTCAAATATTTATTACGGTTGCCGCGGTTTCCGGATCCGCAATTCTACTCATTTCGAGTTGAACGTTACAGTCGATCTGTAATATATTACGATCTGATATTATTAAGCATGACGGTTACAGTTTACGAAAATATTTCTACGATCGATAAATTTCAACAATTAGATAATATTATACATATATATCGTTATTTTTCAACTCGTCAAAATTGAACTGTACGATACGATTTATAATCTCAAGTCGTTAAGTGATAACATATCATTTCTTTACTTCAAAAGTGACACAACTCTAAAAAATTAAGTTTTTCAGAAAAGGAAAAGAGCTACGTATTTTTTCAACTTGACAAAAAATTATTAACTAATAAAATATCGGAAAAGGAACATGATCAATTGTTATTTTATTTTTGTTTTATACAACCTTTAAAAAATTTTTAATAGTTTTTTTTTAATCATCCCTTTTAGTTGTGACGATTTAAAAAAAATTTCTCTCTTTGAGTTGTAACGATTTTGATGATTTTTTGTGAAGTTAAGTTAATTTACTGTTAATGATTGACATAACAGTTTTTCTAATTAATTTATTTATGATAATACGTAACTCGAAAATCACGTTTTTAAGCGGATTTTGAAGTAAGAGAGCAAAATTTCACAAGTATTTAAAGTTATAATTTTTATTCTCATTGTCGGAGCTTCTCTCATCGAAAGCTTTTGTGAGTTTCAAATAAAGAAAGTATTCAAACTATTGGAAGAAAAATAAGATTCTCCTTCCTACGCCCACAACTGTGATTTAATTATGAAAAGTTTCAGCATAATATACGTCGCGAGAAGTTCTCAGAGTTGCCCCCCCTGAGTCCACCCATCTCTTTACTACCAAATTTACGCTGATGATTCATCGTGTTTTAAAATAGAAGTCCAATGACTCCACAAAGATCTTGACATTGTCTTGGCACTTATGGTATACTATATATATTGAAAAATAATTGTGAAATTGTTTTTGTCATTAAATTTGAACATTGATTTTATCACGATTTAACTATGGAATATGTGCAACTGTCGAGTAGCAATATAACGATTTAATTATTTTATAAGTAGGATATACAATATAAGTGGTTAATATAAATTAGATAAATGCAATCATTAATAAAACAATTTAATCGATAATATTAAAATAATAAAGATATATATTAATATTATTTGTATATATTAATATAACTTGATCTTTTTAAAAATTCTGTCACGTGAGACAGAATATTGCTGCACTGAGAAAAAGATATTTAAAAATTTATTTATGGCACACAATATTTATTTTACTGAAATAAATCCTTATTTAATTACGGCAAAATAAAATTTTATTTCTAAATAAACTATTTGTATTTTTTTCAATTAGATGTATATTTCGTTGTTATGGTCAAATTTTTTTATAACTAATAAATATCGAAAATATCATTTAACTAAATACAAAGAATTTTATTGAATCTTCAAAATAATTATCTAAGATGTTTAAGCATGATAAAAGTGCTAAAAAATTTGGCATTTTAGTCAAATTGAACGTCTCATACAATTATTTTGACGGTCCAACAAAATTATTTTCGGATTTGTATCATATCTAAATTTTTAGATGCTTCAACGAAACCGTACTTTTCATATGAATGTATGAATGTATAAATATCGATCCAGTCACATGATGCCTGATGCAAGAACACTATCAACTACTGTTGCAAACTGCTGTTTCCTCAATCGCTTAACACGTGGCCGGATGAATAAGATTCTGGCAACATTTGAATTTTGAACACTGTCTGATTATATTCGATATATGTTCGCATAATCTATTTATTAACTATGACGATGTCGAGTTAGAATAGTGTAAGATATTGAAATGCATTGAATCATCTTTGCATTCATTTTAAATATTTATTAATTTTTCTTTTAATGAGCAATGACATTGAACTTTCAATAAAATACTATTAATTGCTTTAATATTAAGATAGATCTATTTTTAAATATGACAAAGAGATAGAGAGACAAATTGTATTACAAAACAAAATATATATTAAAATGTTGAATTAATTCGATGCTGTCAAAAATCGAATATTAATCCAACACGTGTAACTTGTCTTATTTGATGTCAATGTATAACAATATGTAAAGCATAGATTGAAAATAAGTTTTCTTTTTTTTAGGCATGGAGCAGTTCGAGCAGCTGCTAACCTGTGCAATATGCCTGGATCGATACAGAAATCCGAAGCTCTTGCCATGTCAACACAGCTTTTGCATGGAACCGTGCATGGACGGCCTTGTCGACTATGTTCGTCGACAGGTCAAATGTCCGGAATGTCGTGCCGAACATCGTATACCATATCAGGTAAATTATATCTCGATCCTGTTGAAACATAATTAGGTTATAAAAGCTTAGAATTATTAAAAATATTTTTTAAATTATTTTAAGAGAAATTATTTATTTCGTGCTCTCTTCTGGTTTCGACTAATTACACGTTAAAATACATAAATTGTCTATATACATTATATATATACCATGTTTAAAAAAAAAACAACTTTCCGCAATTCTCTAAAAGTAATAAAATATATGAAAAGTATATACGATTGTGCAAGCTGTCGCGATTCGTTGGTCGCAAAATCAATTCTCCAGCAATTACGTGTCGCTTTATTGGATTTATGTCTTTAATGTTTACGGTACGATCGGGCGAACAGGAAAAAATCGATCTATGTTTTGTCGCACAAATTAAATGTTATTCTGTGCGTGTCAATGTAACCCGATGTGCCGCTACGTGTAAGCTCATCTTTATTCAACGACGAGTCCAAACGCGAGAGAATTCTCATTAAACCCAGTGTATTCTCGCGTTTCGTGCTAATGTGATCTTTGAACCGGTCTATTTTTTCAGAATAATCAAACGTATTTACATAAGCAGCGGCAGCAGAATTCTAAAATGTTTTTCGTTACAATTGCTGCATAATCAATTATCTGATTGTATGTATTTAGGGAAAAAAATCAAATAGTTCCAAAAAGATAAACGATATTTAACAACCGCGTCTGATGCACAAAAAGAAGAACGATTTTGCTGAAATATCTACTAATTTAGCTATATACAAATCTAAAAATAATTTTGTTGAACCATCAAAATAACTATGTAGGAAAATTATGTATGATGAACAATGTCGCAAAAAAATTTGACATTCTAGCAATCAGTTTAAATGTTTTACATAATTATTTTGAGTCTAATAAAATTATTTTCAGATTTGTTCTAGCTAAATTTGTAGATATTTCAGTAAAACCATCCTTCTATAATATATATTAATAGTCAATTTATCTATTTGACACTCACACACATATTAGTATCTTCTCTAATAAAGAAGGCCAGCGCGCGTTGCATAATTAATTCGCGACATTATGCGCACAGTGTATCGATTCCGGTCCATTAATAAGCGGCATACTCGATGCATGTACACGTATTACGAGCGTTAATCGAGCCGAACATACATCCTGTTTGTAGGGCGTGCAAGCCTTTCCGACCAACGTGACACTGCAGCGATTCCTGGAATTGCATATCGAGATCACGGGAGAATTACCGGACCCGACCAGCGGTCAGACCATGGAACGCTGTGGCGTTTGCTCTGAGAAGAGTTACTGTCAACTGTGCGTGCATTGCGAGAAGAAATGCTGTCCCGAATGTAAAGATGCACACATGGATATTCTGAGACGCGAAATTACCCGCATCAATTCTCAGGTACAATGACATATATTTTCTGCAAATTTAGAAAATTGAGGAAAATTGAAAAAATGAATCGATGTAGCTGAAACCACGATTTAGAAAATAAATCTGATAGAAATTAGAAGTAATGAGAAGATATTAGAAAAATAAAGAGATATTAGTCAGTTACTTCAATAAGTCGATTACTTATTAATGTGCTTTATAAATTTCTTAGAATGAAATTTCATTGAAAAAGAGTAAAAATTGTCATTCTTTTTCAAGAAGTGAAATATTTTCACTCTTCTCCAAAAATTGTTCTAATAAGATTTCATTCCAAGAAATTTAAAGAGTGTCAGAAATATCGGTGTGCCGATATCGAATCAGTATTAAAACTGCAACCTCTTGAAAAAAAAACGATGAATTTTAATATTTCTTTTTATCATTGTCGTCTACAAGTGATAACCGTTGTCAATCAAGTTTTTGCGTTTTAAAATAAACTCTACCACAAGAAATTTTGCTGTGCCGATCGGAGAAACTAATTTAACCAGTTCTATAACTAATTTTCTCTTCGGTTGGTAGACGTTGTAATGTATTTAGGAAAGCGGAAACTGTTGTGTTATGGTATCCGGTATCGGGGTGTACTTTAAATTCGTTACGTCGTGCCCTTCGGCGTCCTAACGGAAAATTTATTGCCGCGCAACTTCGCGCATTGTAATTAAGCGTGTATATACGATAGGGACGTACGTTATAACAAGATTGTGACCTAAATTTTTCGCTTTTTATTAAGGGCGTGCGATATGAAGACGTTAGTTGAATTCAATAACACGTACAACAAATAAATATGAAATAGAATCATTATTTAAATAAAAAGATCTCAAGCTTACGATCTAGATTTATATCATTTAACTTTTATATTACAAATATTTAACCCACCGAAACTGATATCAAATGTAACACAGTTACTGACTCTGAATCCCCATTGGGATTCATTTAATTTATGTTAATTAAAACCATTTAATTAGTTGACATTAATTAATTTCAAAAAACCAAAATTAAATAATTTATACAAAAAAGAATAAGTAATAAATTTATTTTAATAACGATAATTCAAACTTATAAATGTAACTTAAAAAATATAATTGATTGGATCAAATAGACCTATTGTTAGCTCCGGAGGATTAAATCTCAATTTCTCAGTTATATCTTATCTCAGTTATGTACTTCAAAAGTTATATAAGTGTATAAGTATTATTATTTGTATCTGGAGATTTGTATAGTATTTGAGAAATGCACTTATCCAAAACTTATAAGAAAATTTAAGTGAAATAAAATAAAAGTGATGTATTCTTTTTCGAGATAACGATTCAACTGAGAAAAAGAAGTATACGTGCCGAAATTTATCGTTCGATGATTCCGCATCAAGAACTTTGCAAGGCAAATTGTATGCATTGAGCGGGATGACGTTCGAAGATTGTGCGAATTCGCCGTTTGTCTCCAGGAGAACCCCGATGAATCACGTCTATTTCAAGTGACGGAATAAACTTCGAAGCGAGATCGTCTTTGAGACAGTCCAGAGACACTGAGATCGTGCTCTGACAAGGTGGATATTGCGCATGTAAGGCGCACAGATTTGTGAACATATTTCCATGTTCAAAGTTGCTAACACGGTTCTGTCGAATCTGTCAGATCGTCCTCTGTGCCATGGAAATTACGCGCGCGTGCCTGAAATATGGTCTGCTCTTTCTGTTCAAATTCCCCGAGAATTTGATGCTGATCGCCATTTATATTTCATTATGTTTCACGATTATTCAGAAACGCGGGCGTGGATCGATAAAGCGAACCGAATAACAGGAAAACTCGTTATTATATGTATTATAGAAAAATACTTAACTTTGTATTTTTTTTTAATTACAAATTAAAGTTCTTGTTTACTCATCACTACTATTTCAGACCGTGACGTCAATGGCGAGGAAATACACTGTAAAAATTATTTTGCAAATTATCTGATAGCAAATATCTGAAATAGAGTAGTGGTGAGTCAACAGGAACTTTAAAATGTATGCGTCTTTCTTTAACCAAATTTTAATTGCAATTTCGCTGTTAAAAGCATTTGAGCATTATGAATAAACTGCATTTATATAAATAATTATAATTACATTTTTTCCAAAGAAAGATGATTGGCTACAATAATTGATAATAGGATGCGTAGATAAAAGATAGCGTAAAAAATCTAGGACACCCGATATACGTGAGCTTTCTAATTACTTAATTTATTTATTGTGCAACAGAAAAATACAATTTTTGTACTCTCTTTGTATATGCAGATGTTTATATTTCATTTCTACGGCTCGTTGTACATTTTCTATGATTTAATTAGTTACAATGGGAAAAAATCTGGTGACACATAAATTGGAAATCCGGTAGATTTAACCAGTTTGTTTGAAAAATGAACAGATCAAAACTATTCTAAAAAATATCAAATGAGCATAATTAACTTTTTCCTGTTAATTATCAGAATCAGAATTTCTTTATATAAGGTTACTAAATTTATGTAATTAGATAAGCATAACTTTTTAATAAAAAAGTTTTTAGTAAGAAATTCTAGTGACTACAACTAGAAATTTTATAAATCCAACCGAATTTCCTTCTCATTTTATTAGTTAGTGAATTGAGTGCTATATAAGTTACTATAAAGTTTTTCCTTAAGTTTATCAAATATTTTATAAGATATCCAGTTCAATCATGATAATTGAAAATTCTGTTTGATTTTACTAAAAAGCTTTCTATTATACATACCTATTTTATACCAATCGATATAATCAAATTATTTTTTTAATGTAATAAAACATTCTAGCGCCATAAATATTTTCAAAAGGCGATATCGAACTTGGAGCACAGTAGGATGAATTCTGCTGCTGGCTTTAATTAGTTAACAACCGGACTTCCGTGTCGCGAGGCTTTCAGCCGCACAGTTAATTTTGTAATACGCCGAATCTCATTATTGCATGGACACACGATTGCACTTGGGAATTTACGTGGCAAAATATCTATCTATTGTTTGAACCGCATGAAACGTCTATACTTAATTAATTTTTATTGTATTTGATTTAACAAATATCACGGAATATCACGAAAATGTAAACGCCGTGCTTTGTGCACATAAAAAGCGATAGAGAATAATTATTTCCAAAGGCAGCCTGAAAGGAAAAAACGAGTTGAACCATTTATTTCGCGAAACAACGTGTAAAATAATCCCCCTTTAAAAAGCTCGTTTTATTTATTTTAATAGCACCCGATTTAATCAATTTAGAAAGGACTCGTGCAATGTTCCATTTACGGTATAACACTTCGTAAAATTGTATTTACGCTCAATACATCGAAAGAATGATATTTTGGGGAATTTTATTCTATATAAAAAGCACGCGAAAGGGATATACCATGTCTATCGTCTATCGTGTGTAATTTAAACCATTAATACAATTTTTATCCCGTACTCTGGAAAATTTCATTCATTATTGCATTGCGCGAGTACAACAAATACCTTTGTACACGTGCTCATCCGGCGCGTGCACAATATACCTTCTGAAAACTTTGATTTGTTTACCTTAATCGTTCGCAATTTGACCAATTTATACAATTTCAGCACCGCACGACAGACTATAAAAATTTCGCGAAAATAGCATCTCTCGGCGTTTTGAGACGAACATGTAAAAGCCAAGTCTTGTCGAACGGTGAAATAAACGCGATGGAGCACGTGGTAAAATCACCGATGCAACTCGACCTCGCCACGGTATAAGAAATTATGATGCTAATGCACCGAGATACTCTCCGCGAATGCATCACGTCTCTTGCACTTTTCTCTATCTCCCAGCAGAATAATAGGATGGCTTTCCCACGATTTTCCAGATTTATTCCGTAAACCGGGCACGATTTTGTTCCCGTCGTCGTACAGGAAAGAAATATCCTAACGATATACAATTTATATACACGGTTTCTCTCATAAAAGTATATTATAAAAATATTCAGATCACACGGCAACTCTTGTAATATTTTGCTTCATTTTCCTCAATAGTTATCGACAATTCTTTTATGTCGGATTTGTCATTCATTGGTCATGCAATTTGATATAACATTTATTTTCTGAAATACATCGATGAGAGAGTGTTCTCATTAAGTTTTATCTCTTTTAGCGATATATTATTATAGTATGCGTTTCCAATTTATAGATATTTGCGATTGCATCGATAGTTGCATGCGAAACAAATCTACCGGTCCAAATTGATGATAATGACGATAGCTATGAATTTCGAGTCTTTCCATACCAATTGAGTGAAATTACGGACGGACGTATCTCCAATTTCTCGATCGCCGCGCATTGTATAATTGTAATCTGTTCTCTATGTTGCATACCGAAACAGTTAATGAATCAATCATCGAAAAGAGTAACGGAAGATTCATTTCATGCATACACTGAAAAAAATGTTGGTCATTTTTGATCTAATGAATGATCGTTAATCAATGTCCGACTTAATGTAGTTAATTCATTAATATAATAACTAGATTCATTTATATAACTATATGTATATTCATTCTTGCGATGAATTCTAGTAATAATTTTATAAAACCTAAATCATTATGAGAATTCATTGGATCAATTTTCATTATTTTTTCATAATTCAATGAATATTTTATTGTATTTACATACAGTTTTGGTTTAGTGTAGCTATAAAATTAAAGTATTTTTCTTATTGAATGCACATAGTGTAATTATTAATTTTTATACTGAAATAGAAATTATAGTTTTTGTGAAAAACATAAATTCTCTTGTGAATGAAATAATTGCAAATTAGTTTTCTTTTTTTTTCTCTTGTATATCATGATGTTATCAGCAAAAGTTTCTTCTATATTCTATTATGTTATAATAATTCACTCAAAATTTTTTCTATACATTACCGCACAATAGATTATTGTAGATATCCCGAACCCCATATTCAAGCTATGCGGTTTCTTTTATTTACATTACTTCCCGTCTACATGCCAATACCTGTATTGTGCAAGATTGTAACCAATATTCCGCCGGTCTGCATTTTCCAATTCAGATTCCGCCAAAGCCCACGCATATATTTTCGCCGTATTAAAGCTTCTTGCACATCTCCGCTTCCTTTCTCTTCGATAAGCTCTTACCAATCGCTGAATACGCTTGCTCAATTTTAAACATGAGATACATTATCTAGAATATAATAACTTTTCCAGCTTTTTTTTCAATATTATTTATTACTATAATACATTTACTATAAGATACACGCAACGAATTATAGAATGTAGCTAAATAAATTGCAGATATCTATAAAAGTTTTGGACATAATAATTTACAGCAGATAAAAAATCTATCTAAATAATTAATCATGTAATGAATAATTATTAATCAAGCTTAATACATGTATAAATTAGAAAAAAATAATAGTTAATAATACAAATTAAGATTGAAAAGTTAAAAATATTATAGCTGAAAGAATAATAATATTGTAAATTAATGTGGATGTCTCGACCGTACTAATAATAAGTTTTTCTCAGCATAAACAATTAATCAGACAGGAAAGTCAAGACAAAATTATAAAATAGATTAAAATATAGATTAAAACTATTTTAATCTATTTTGATTTATTTTATGTTAATTTATTAATTTATTATTTATTTTTAATAAATATGATAATAAATATATATTTTTAATCTTCTTAACTAGTTCGTATCATTGACTACTATTTTTCCTTAAAAGAAACTACATTTTGCTCTTTCCCTTATTTATAACGACAACAATCAGGAATTATTTAATGTTGATTTTATATCTTGAAGATATTTTCTATGAATATTTCCATAAATAAGTTTTAGATTATAATTTTTGCAGAAAATTCTGATCTACATTTAAGAAAACTTTATTAATTTAGGTCAGCGTTGACTCGTGTCAATATGTATATGTAGCTGATATATAAATAGCATATGACATATGAACCAATTACATTTATATGTGCCTATGAAAATGTAATGCTCTTGCGTAGATCGTAAAGCACATAACGTAAAATTGCGAATCCCTTTTAGAGCTTTGCGCTAAGATATTTGTATGTCCAGACTATTTATTATTTCAGCTAGGTCCGCTTCGTTCATTCAGGCCTCCACATATGTATCTAGGCCATGCAGTTGTAGCATAACTATAATGAAACCTATAAATATAATCATTAGTACGTCTGCCCTAAAAGCACCCAAAACTTTAGTTTATTTAAAGCAAGCTTTCATATATGATTCCAAAAATATTAGGAATAAAAATAGAACGTTTATTGAAAGCAAACTTTATATGATTCCAAAAATATTAGGAATAAATACAGGATATTCAAAACATGTAAATATAGTGTCACATAACGCGTTATTTTCGCGCTATTATTCCGTTATTTTCACGCTATTATTCCGTTTGGTCAAATACTTCCTTTTTCCATCTCACAAACTTCTAAACGAGTGAATTTGTGTAAATAACGCGTTAAATTTACATTAATAATAATAGCGATAATTGGATGTATTTATCCACGCCCACTTACCACTTGCATAATCGATATCACAATCGCGATGACGCAGCGCGCTTAAGCTAAACGCAGATTTGCATTTCCGGCTTGTCAAATCCGCATATTCCGGTTGTATGTTCTCAGGTGCGCAGAGGATTGCACAGGCTGCAGGACGCGCTGGCCCTGGTGGAAAAAAACACGTTGGGCCTGCAGACAAACTGCGCTTCGGTCGCCGAGGAGGTGGATGAGATTTATCGGAGGCTGAGCAAGGCTTTGAAAGACCGTACGGAACATCTGCGTAACGAGGTCGATCGATACCTCGGCACCGAGCTCAGAGGCCTGATTCAGCTCAAAGAGAATCTCGAATTGGAAATCGCGAATATCCAGAGCAACTGCGATCTGGCGGAGGCGCACATAAATGAAAACGTGCCATGGGACGACGCTGAGCTCCTGGACACAAAGGAGCTCTTCCTGCGTACGGTGGAATTTATCAGGTTTGTCGCCGCGTAATCTCCATTTTCTTTTCGGCACCCGCTCGTTAAACCCTACGCGGTCCTGTAGTCTTGTTACGATTTATTATCGGCTATCTATTCTGCGGCCTCCTTTTTTTACGGCGCCGGCCAGAAAGAAATCGTTAAATAAACGGTTTCCTATCTCCCGCGAGCTATTTTATTTCAATTTCGGATCTCGTAGTGATGCTTCACCTCGATTCTATTTTTATTTAATAGCACCCACGTTATTTCGTAAAATTATCACAACTGTTCTTTTTCTAACAGGTTTGTTTATCGTACCATATTTAAACTAAAAATTTTATTTATAACGTTGTTTATTATTGAGCAAAAAGTATTTATTATTTACAATAAAATATAATATTTCCTACCTCTCTACAAAATGTAATCGTTCCAAAATTGATAACCATACCTTTCAGGCATATCACAACATAATAAATAAACATAAATCTCTAGGATAACAGCGATACTCTCCAATAAAAAAAAATCGATCGTAATTTGAATGCTGTCGAAATGAATATGCCGATATTGGCAGCTGCCATATGAATTCCGGCCGAGATTTGTGATAATAACATTACAAGTATAATATAGTAGAAATTCAGCGTTGGCTAATGTAATTAACGTTCAACATTACCGCGGACACCATTATGAAATATGTAACGTGCGCAAAATCTGCTGTAAATCACAGACGCAAAACGCGCCACATAACAAAATTATACGTTCATTGACCCAAGTACAATAATTGTGTTAAGTAACTGACAAAACATCGAAGGGCGCATATTTTAATTGCGGAAATAGCTGTACGTAAAATCGCGCGGTCGCATTTTTAACTTCGATAAAATAATACGTTTCGTTAATAAACATTGTCGAATTACAATGAATTTTAAAAGCACGCGTTATTATAGAAGTCTCGTGCTAAACCAAGATGTAAAAATGTCCAGCAAAGCTGTGCAATTCTTTCGAGTGTATTAATTAAACGGAATCGCGCCATGTTGAATTCACATAGATGCGTCCGGCATTGTGCCGTTAGCAATGTATGTAGTTTAAGTTTTTTTCAATTATTTTTATTTCTATCTAACGATATTGTAAAACTGAAAATATACAAAGTTAAAATTAATCATACTTTATCGCGCTCGATAAAATAAAATTTTTTCACTCATAATATGACATTATGAAATAATAAAAAAATTAATATTTCATAATTTCTTTCGACTTCACACAGTACAATATGCAACATAATTATTATCGATTTTGCAAAACTTAATTCGTAGCATTAGCGGTCCGTCATATTTCTCAGCAAATGAAGATGGACGATTGTTCTCCGCAGGAACTTCGAATATGAGGCGGGGGATTACAACCGACGAGTCCGCTTCGTGATGGCGCACGATCCGAATCAACTTGTCCTTCACGTGGCGGGTTATGGCGAATTGAACATTAAACCGGAAAGCGGGAGCGGCGGATTGTTGGGTAGCTCCAGCAGTTTAGCCCCACCGGTGGGTTCGCCTGGTCTTATGAGAAGCAAGAGCGATCACCGTCTCGCCTCGCAATACAGGCAGCAAGAGGAGGAACGACTGGCAAGGAATCGATACGTTCCCGAATATGAGTAACTATCGCTACTTCTTACGTCTCTCTTCTCGAGAGTGCTCGAATATCCGAGTATTATTTCCCGATATTACTAGCGGTGCGAAAAATCAATTGCTTTCGTACCGCTATTCTAAATATCGTGAGCTGTCTGTTTGCAAGCACGAATCATATCTTATCTATCGTTACCGTGCTCTATTTCTTTCTAATATTGATTTACAGAAAAATATTGTGACAGCTTATTTATTTTTTGTAGAATACTTGCTGCAAAAGACTATTACGTTTCTTCATATTGCAACTTTGACATCAGCTTATAAAACGATATAAATTTTTCCTGAAGTAATATCATACATACATATACTTCGTAGAGTTTAGGGAATATGGAATACCGGTTAGGGAGGGCAAAAACTGTTGGGTACGAGATAGAACTTTTTAAAAAAAAAACTGCCTATATGTTTCGACTTTTCGACCAGTATCAGTGTAAGTAGATTATAAAAATAAATGTCCAGACGGGAAAACCATTTCTTCCGCTATTTATTAGTGAGATCAATTTGTCTCGGAGCCGATTTAAAACTGCAAGACGGTCAATGGAGACAAGAAGTGTCCTTGGATCGTTGGACGACCTGAGATCGAGTGCCACTCCTTGATTTATAGCGCTGAGATTCAGTTTGTTTTCGAAACGATAAATCAGCCGTCGTGAAAATTTGCAATTTTATTTACGGAACGAGGACGTGTCGCGCTAATACGTCCGTAAGATGACCATGAACAATTTGCTGGTCGTATGTACAATCGTGGCCGATATATTTCTTCGAGAATCGAACCGTGGGGTAAAAGCGTTCCAGGCACACGCGCGACGTTTTATTGTTTATTACTACGAAGGTGTAACAGATTGAACCGATAATACCATGGCTTTTTGCTGCGAGGCGTTAGATAATGGAACGTATTAATATTCTACTCGCGCAACAGCAGAAACGACGCAGGAATGCCATCGGCGCGCAACAATGATTGGTACGTGCCTAGCAAGTCCGGGAGGGGCGTATATTTACGGTACGATTAGACTAATCAGGTTAAAATCAAATATCTTTAATCAGATCCTTTTAATCGGATACTTTTTGAGACAGCCATTACAATTTTGAATATATTAACTTTACTTGGATTTAATTTTACTAGCAATATTTACCGCACCCTTCATAATGTTAATTATTTTCTAAATTACAATTTTTACATGTTTCTTTTACACACAACGTATTAAATAATATAAGTGCGACTATTAATTTTAATTGAAATAGTCATGATATAGAGAAAAATATTGCATTTTAATTAATATAAGTTCCAATGTTTGATAAAAGGTACATTTGACAGAAAATAATTTCAATCGATGGTCAGATTTCAAATATATTTATTAATATTTACATCTTAAAAAGGCTTGAATTAAAATAACCACAAAACTCTTTTAATATACTAAATTAAAAAATATTAATATAGCTCGTAATATGCAAAGCAATATGTAAAAATAAACCAACAATCAAATTTAGGATGTTGTAAAGATGGTAATAGAACTATCTTTGTTAATTAGGATTATCGCATTAATAAATTAATTGACATTTCATGTTCTAAATTTGTTAGTCTTATTTTTACATATAAATTTATACAACGTCAAAAATTTCCTGCAACAGACTTTATCGTATTTTGAAGCACGTCGAAGAAAAGTGCACTTTCTGCAAATACCTCGCATGTTTATTCTGGCGTAAGTTATAAATACGCTTGGTTTTGGCATTTTCTCATTTTCTTCGTCTCTCTTTCTCTCTCTCTCTTTTTTCTTTCTTCCTCTTTCTCTCTCCTTCTATTCCAATTCAAAGGAACCGCTTAAAAAACGTCTTTAACTTGGAATAGACGCGTCGGGTTTAATTGCTGTCTGTTTTATACAATGTCGGTCGTTAGAACATCTCGCGAGGCCGTTTTATTAAGCGGCCTCGTCAAAATGTAAATTAAATGCTTCGGGTACGCACGAGCACGTACTTTTTAGTAATTAACGCTCTCGCGCACTGGAAGACCTGCTTCACATGCGGCAATCGCGGCTGCCCCGCCTCGTGCCGTCTGTATTCCGTTTGTTATATAATTACGCCAATCGTGATCGTTTTGCGCGATTATTAGAGAAAATACCATTATTTGCCGTAGTGAAGGTCTCATCAATTTGTCGATCGCGCGCGAACCAGATATCGCTCGAATTGTAAATGAATCTCGTGCGATGCATTTTCACTGTCTGCGAAACGTACGCGCGTTGCGGTGTTTATTTTTGACACTTGCCTTGTGATATTCGAGTGAAAATTCCATTATTCGTACTTTTTTTTTCACAATACGTTCTGAAAAGCGCGCTTTTCAATCGCTCTCTTTTTGCGTCGCGTGAAAAAACTGAAATATACAAACGACCGTTATTGCCGTCGGAATTTCTGGCGTGTGTACTTTGCCAGCGTTTTGAAGCGTGACAACGCCTGATATCATATCATGGAAATGTAGCTAAATGGTTAAGTGCTTAAAATCGATAATACCCGATGATACTACAAATATATAGTGCAAATGCAGATAGATGGATTAAAAACTCAAGAGATTTTATATGAAACGTATCCATATATGTTTTACTTATATATATTTTTATACATACATTTGTAGCAAATAATACTTATACATTATTAAGAGATTATTTAGAGTTATATATATGTATTAAGTAAAATTATTATTTAGATTTATTTGGATCAGGATAATTCTGTAGTTATTTAATAATTTGATAATATTTATTTAACAATTTATAAATTTAAAATGAAATGTTTTAACGTTCTTAATTAATAGTGTAAATTAGAAAGTACTGCTTATAACAAAAACTTTATATTGTCTATATTTCCTCAGTATAATACTGTACTGTTGAAATAATTAATACTTTAAAAAGCAGCAAACAAATGGCTGCTTCTTAAAGTATTAATTGTTTGAGGGATTCTTAAAACTCTCACTTAAAAATGCAAAACGTCAACTTTTTTAATAACTACAGCCCTCGATCTGAAAGCGGTCAACTCTCAAAGCTCACATCTAATTATTTATCTTTGGCCATCCGCTTTGGGCGGATTTTATTGCAATTCGTGAACAAGGTTACTTCTCGCAGTGGATTTTGTGGAACGCGATATTGCAATTCCTTCGACAAATTGCTGACGCTTTAAATTTAATTAAAAAACTGACACATATCCTGATTCTCTTAGCAATTTTTGATAAAGATCATTATTGTATAGAGTGAGTATATATCCTGTTTCGAGGTCTCTCTATTGATTTTTCGCTACGCGTACAGCTGCCACACAGTTATTCTTGTAAATTGATTAGTAAAGAATATTGTTTTTCTCACGTTTTCTCTTACTGAACAAAAAAAGAGAGAAGAAACAGCATACAGAATTTTTTAATTTTTATAAGCGCATGTAATGAACTAGATATTTTTTATTAAATGCAAGCATCAAACTTGTTATTTAATTTAAATTTTTTATTCAGTTTTTTTGTTAAATTTTTAGATACTTTTTAGTATATTGTTATAATCTCTTAGAATTGATTTCAATGAACGAATTCAATTAAAATTTAGTTTTTAAATTACAATTCTTTAGTTAAAAAAATTTTCACATATACATATATTCTTTTGCTATTGGAATATTACGTATGGCACCGTTGCTGACAGCATTCTTTGATGTTTAAAGGGTTAAAAGATAAGGGCGAAAATTTGATAGCACCTATCAGCGAGGTTTGGGAGAATATCATGGAAGATGATATAGGAGTAGAAGATGGAGGTTCTCTAATATCATTTCGCCCTGTCATCGGCAATCCTCTCGAATCGAACAGAGATAATCTCACTATAAAGCAGATCGCGTTTCAGTCTAGGTACGGCTTGTCATTGACCCCCTCCCTTGTCATAATTTCAAGTGATATATATCAGAGACACGTGTTCTTGCGAGATTTGTCCATGAAAATGATAAATTGTTATTCGTCTTCAGGGAGAAGGGAGTTTTTTTTTATATTCTCATACGCGATCCAAGTTGATACTCGTGTCTGACCTTTGACTGACTTAATCTACTTACACTGTATCCCCTAATATCTATAAGATAGACATCAGTTTTTTCTTATATAATCTATATAACGTTAAATAAGATTACGATATTAATATTGTTTATAAAAAATTTTCACGTTTGAAAACATATTCGCCTTTAATAAACCTAGCATATTAATCGAGCAAGGTTTATTAAAGATTAATATGGGATAAATTGAAACACATCTGGATATATTTTATGTCAAATGAGGTTCGATTTTTTATTATATAAGCAGGATTTTTTAATCGGTCCTGCAAAAATTTTAGAAAAGGTAAAAAGAAGTGAAACAATTTAGAAATAAATAAAAAAGCGAGTAAAAAGCATGAAGTAAAAAATATTTTTAAAATTGTGAATATTACCCGAATTATATTATGTGCATTTACTTTCATTTTAAGTTTAAAGTAACGATATCATTTCAAGCAGACCAATAAAATCACTTTTTAAAAAAATACAAACTTAAGTTTAAAAAATTTACTGTTTATTTCTGAATTGTGTATCTGATAAAAGACCTATGCTGAGCACTGAAGCGTGTGCACCTCATGATGTACCTCAACAAATTTAACTCATTACTAAATGTGCCGCGAATTGAAAAAGGTTGAAAAATATTGCCTTAAAATTTTACTACAAATCGTTAAAGATTAATTTTTGATTTGACAAGAAACACTTGTTTTTCAAACAATCGGTCAAAAACATTTAATTATAAAGCTACTTATTTCAATAATAGTTTATCGATCCGCTTTCAACTCGTGAAAGTGAATTGCTAATAAGTAGAAATCACTGTCGGTGATTTCTCCAAATCCAGACTCACTTTCTCGGCAACGCAACGGTCTTAATTAATTGACGTTGTCGCAGTACGCGTGTGTATGCGTGTGTGTGTATGTGTATACCAGGTACGATGCCCCGGAGTACGAGGTACCCAGGAACAAGTCCAGGTATAGAAGTCGATTTATGCGGCATCGGGACGGTGACGATTCCGACGGTGACTCCAGATCGACGGTGAGATTCACGTCGGCGCCGCCGGAGTCGTCCAGCTTACGGGAACGCGTTCTGGACACGGAGGATGCCGCACGCGGTCCGTTGTCCGGCATATTTCGCTTGACAGACTCGCCACGAGTCATGAAGAAGCTGCAGGAGTGCGAGCGGGCTGGCAAGCGGAAGAAGGAGGAACCGGCTAGCCAGCCCATGCCGCAACCACAACCACCTAAGCCGCAGGTTAGAACAACAAGTTTCTGACAGCATAAATATTAAGGTCTTCAGAGCTAAAATGGGTCAAGATCAAAAATTCCAATTTAGTCGCGCTTTTGTATCTGAAAATTAATCTTGTGGATGAGACTTCTCAGAAAATCCAATTTGTTTTAGCTCTGAACTAGCTTGTTTAATTGAAATTATTTAGCAGATAATGTATAATACATTGCCCGTATAAAAAATATCTGCGATAATTGCGAATGAAAGGAATTTAATATTTAGATAAGATTAAATGCGGTGAAGAAGTTGTTGCTTAATTTTGATCAAAGTAATGATATCGTTTTTGCACGAATTGCATTTAATATGGTGATTCGTTAACAAGAGTTTGAGAATAATACAATTGCTGGTATTTTTGGTAAGTATACATACATTCTACATATTTTTCTATACTTCTATGGTAAAAAATAATTAATTATCTGTCAAATAAAAGTCGAGATTATTATTAATATTGCAAATATTTAAAATTATAGTGGGTTTTGTTGGGCAAGCTCAACGCGACGTTGAATATTTCGAAATAAAATATGACATTAAACATATAACGCGCATGTTCTCGAGTAAAAAATTGTTATACATGTCATAAATATATACAGCTTTCATTGCTAATAAAAATTCAAGGTGACAGCGTAATCCAGATACATTTGCTATATGCATACGAAATACATTTTTATGTTATATATGAATTCTATATAAGGCCTCTCTCAACCCTTCGTATATAAGCCGTCTTAGGTCGCTCAGTCTTATATTGGGATATCGATTTGCTTTCCTCCCATAAACATCCATTGTTATGATAGGTTTCGCATTAAAAACGTGACTGCCACTAGCGTAGTGTAATTATTTTAGTAATGTGTACTCAAGCCGAAAAATCCCTGCAAAATTATAGCGATGTAGAGATAATACTGAAGAATATATGAGCGCGGCTATTGATAAAAGCTACACTGATACATTGTTTCGTGTTTCGTGAAAACAATAATTTTATAAAAATTCGCATCAATAGATCTGTACCAATTGACGTGTAATCCTCGACGGACATCCGTGTTTTTTTATCGATGTAACACATGGTTACATCATTGACCTATTTGTTTTCCTCCCTCGACGTTCATATTTTAAATGTTGATGCAGCACGGAGCTCAGTTGATTGAATCGGACAATCGAGCAATCGTTCGGCATCTATATGCAAATCCTCTGGCCGGCATAATTTTTTTTTACGCCGAAAAATATACATCCTCTACAGAGAAGCGTATCAGTGAATTTAATCGCCGTTCCCTGCTTATCGATATATCGTATATCATCGCGTCGTATCAATATTTAAACGGCTAAACGTCAACGATACAGTTAATTTACGGCCATGAGTGTGTTCAGTGAATGTTATTTAATCAGTCTTGCACGTACTTTTAGAAAACACTCGGAAAAATACTGAAGTCACTCTAATTTGATAACACGCACACTGTAAAAAAATTACATGTAGAATTATGACAATTATAATGAATTCTAATTTTGGGACCTACTATTACAGATGTATATTTACACAAGTTACAATTTTATTTATTTGTAAAATGTAACAACAAATAAAATTTTTTGTACAGTAATTAAATAATTTGCAAAAATAAATTTAGAGTTAAAGTTAAGTTTATAGAAATATTTACATAATAATTCGCCAACGAATTAGATACAATTTTTCTTAAGCTATGTACAAATGTAAAAACATGATATGTATGATATTACTCTACTATATTATATTATATTTTTTAAATTTAAAACTTTGTACTTTTTTGTATATTTAAAAACTATCGCTATTTTAATTTTACGTTTTGTAAAAATTTCAATTTTAGATGTTTCCACTATATATAAATTGTATAATTTTTATATTCATACAATTTTACATACTTTTTTTACAGTGCAGATATTAATAATACACAACACAAAAATCTAAAGTATGTTAACATCTTCGTAAAACAAAAAAAAACATTTAACGCGATAATTCTGCATTTTATTTTCAATTTATATGTATAAGATTAGAAAATTTGAAAAAATGTATAAATTATGATATAACATTATATTGAAAAAATCTCTTAAATTGATCGAATCTCTGATTTAGTTTATAAATTTTGATATTGAGCTAACAATGGATAATTACATAATTAATTAATTAATTAATTAATTAATTAATTACATGGAAAAGACTTCTGTTGAAGTATATATATACAAATTTAGTTAGATATAGATTCCAAAATAATTTTGTTGAGCCATCAAAATAATTATATGGGAAAGTCATGTTGAGCAATATTGCAAAAAATTTCGACATTTTAGCAATCAATTTAAACGTCTCATATAATATAAAACTCTCAAACTATATATAATATAGGTATATATATAGTTGCTAGAATGTCAACATTTTTTTCAACATTACCTTTTTCAACATTATGCTTGAGATTTCTACATAATTATTTAGTGGTCCAACAAAATTATTTTTAGATTCGTATCTATAATAATTAAATTTTTAGCTATTATATTTCAGCAAAATCGTTCTTTCCATGTAAGAACACAACTTAATTGGGTGTTTGTGAATTTGACGACATCGTATTTATTTTTGACAGTGATACCTCCGCACTTTTGCGCAAGGGAATCCCTTATTATGGCAGGAGAAATAAATGGATGGGCGCACGAACTCTCCATGCTGACGGCCAGTGCAACGAACGAAATTGTTCGATGTCGCGCATCCCATTGTTCGGATGATAGCGGCTGATGTCAAAACGCTCAATGAACGTACAAACACAAACATTAACTCGTACATGTAACGAGAACTGTTATCTTAGTCCACGATGATTTATATGAAGTGCTACATATAATGACGAATGAGTGTCATTCCTACGAATGCGGTCAACAAAGTGCCAATCATTATGTGAAATATATAGCGTCAATTTTCTATAATTTCGCGCATATCAGTAAAGCGATAGCCAATATAATATACGTGTGATATATAGATAGGATATTGATGGTAGCGATAGAGACAAAGAGTAATATATCGAGTGAATTGATCCATATCATCGAACGTTGTATTTTATATGAAATACTACGAATGTAAGGTAACAATACAGTAATTTTACACTTTTATTATTACGTTTCATCATTATACACCACCCACTTAATCCCGTATCACGCCCACCTGCTTATTATCGTACTCGCGAGGGACTCGCGGGGCGCATCATGTAATTACCGTGCCGATTCACGTATTAGCCACCTGTCGCGTACGTGTCATAACGTTGCATTTAAATGCACGTGTGGATTTCGCGGCCCCCAATAAATCGCTCGGCGCATCGAGCGGCTGGCGCGAACGGACATCCCCGATCGTAAACCCCCCGGTCACTCGAGGGGAATGATTCGGATTGCAAATCACGAAGGGAGTTGAGCGAGGTTCGATCGCGATTATACCGTGATGGAATGTGACGGAACGCCGCAGTAATTCTCGCCATAAGTGATTTTTTGACACGCAGGTACAAGTGAGAAAGGTACCGACCGCGATGGCGAGACAGACAAGCGAGGACGACGAGATCTCGAGGATCAAGAAGCAGAACAAGAATGCCGCGGCGACTGCCGTCCACGCCGAGACGGTAGAGGAGAGACAGCCGATTTCGATGCCCGCCCCCGTTCATCCGCCACCACGGGAACTTCCGGAACGGGAACCCGAGGAACAACCGGTCAGAAGACCGGCTATTGTCAGGTATAAACAAATAAATCTGTTATAAAATTTTGTTATAAAAATTCGAATAAGTTAAAGACCGCTAAATGAATGAAGTGCTAAACCCAGTCGTGGTCAGATATTGGTGGAGCAATGTTTTTCGCATTAAACTTTTTGTAATATTTTAAGATACTAGTAGCATTAATAGGTCTGTTTTTTATTACCGCACTTCCTGAACTACACACAGTGCAATAAGTTGAAGTGAAACAAATATACGTTTGTCTCACTTCAACTTATTGCACCGGTTCAGAGTGCAGCAATAAAAAACAGACCTTTTATTAAAGCCACGATTAATTTAATTTATGAGATTATTATTTCAGTTTGTGATTGCATTGTATATCTGATAGTAATCTGTGAGCAGTTTATATAACTAAAAGATGTATTTGAAATTTACATAGAAATATTATTAGACATCAATATCCAGCCTCGATCGTATAATTTAGCGTTTTCTTATTTATTTGAAAATTCCAGCAACAAAGTTGACACAAAACAATTGTTCAGTTAAAAAGTTCTATAAAAAATTAATATATCCAATAAACGTGTGATTATCTATGAAAAAAATTCTCATATCTTATGACATTTTTAAAAATTTGTCATATTTTAAATTTATAAAAATTTCTGAAGCAATACATTAAACTTTTTCAGATTTTATAAGTTTTTCCTTTAAAAATTATAGAATGAGAATGATTTAAAACTTAGAAGTTTTAAAATATTTCAAAATTCATATGAACAATTCTTTAAAAAATGTAAACTTTCTTCTGGCACTTCTGAAAAGTACTTCAATTTGTATAAAAGATCTGAGAAACTTTCTAAAAAGTTATAAAATTGTACAGAAAACCTGAAATTTACATAAAAATTCTGAAAAATTGTATACAGAATTCTAAGAAAAATTTTCATCAGAGTGCGCGCAACGATGTATAAGTGGGATGACACAATAGTTCTCTAATCAGAACTTGGCGTTGCCTTGGAACGTCTTACCGAAACCGTGTTTACAAAATTAAGACAATCGCGACGTAGAAAACTCATTAAAACCACTTTACTTGTGATTCTGGTGAAAACTATTTATTAAGAACGGTAAATCAACATGGTCCCTCGAAGGAATGAAAGACTCGAAGATCTGTTTGCTCACGTAGATATTAATCACGCCGGCGGTAACCACGAGTCAACTAGCAGTACATTCGCGTTACATCGAACTTGAGCGCGGAGTTCGCGGCGCGACGTTGTTACGGCGCAAACAAGTAACTTGTTCGAGTTCTCTGCGTTATTAACATGCTTGTTTGCAATATTGTTGCTCGCACAGGAGAACTTCGGAAACTCACGCACCCCCCGCGGCCAGGAGTGCCTCGTCGGACTCGAGCACCGGATCCGAGAGCTCGGGGGGATCAGGGATACGCAATACGGGCGCGCCGTTCACGGCCGAGGAGATGAAACAGAAGTACCTGTCGAGAGCACCCCCGACCAGCACGACGACTACTATCTCCACCACAACCGGTAGAGAGCCATCGAACACTGCCCCTCCGACTCCCAGACCACCGTTTCAGAGCCGTTTTTTAGGCGCAGGTAATTTAGACAATTATTAATGCAATTCTTCAAAATTTTAGAATGCTATCGATATTGAATTATACAGTACTATTGATACGTAAATTTTATGTTCAAGAAAGTAGGCTACTCTCTTAATCAATGTAATAATAAAAAATTTAATGATATATTTATAATCTAGATCTTTATAAACACAAATAATCCAAGTATTAATTTGAAAGAAAAGAAGAAAGTAACACTATCGAATTCAATCCTGCTAACTAAAGGCATAGTTAAACGCTCAATGAACACACACTTGCATGTCAAACTTTATGCATGATAGCGTTCTAGGGTTAAACTCCCAAGGTTTCAAAACAGACGAGATAATAGTTAAGATATACAGTTAATAGTTTAAAATTAACAGGTAATATTGCGACAACGATGCTATTAAAAAATTACTTCTTTTGTGAGAAAGAAATATTTCAAATTTTTTTACTTGCCAGGTAGACTTTTTTGAGATGATAAAATACTTATAAACTCAGAAATTAATAACTTCTTGCTATATTAGCATAATTAGTGCATAAAATTTTGTTGTCGATTCTCTTTTACTGGGAGACTTGTATGCTTAAAGGACTTTCTTTAATTATCAAAAGGAGAAAACAATATGCAATTTAATAGATGCATGTACAGCGCTGGCTGCAAATCCAGCAGGGTTGTGCATAGAATTTATTTACATGTTGCAGTGGAATAGGGAACAATGCAATGCGTAGTAATCGAAGGGATGACCCTTTTATCATGTTCGTAGCTAGAACCCGTTCTATCCGCGACACGTCCCAATTTCGTTGTACGCCTATTACCCATTGTTTATACGAGGAGAATTGAAAGCACGTCTCTACTCGCTTCGTACGCTAATCCCGCCTAGCTCATCTATTGTGTTGTACTTCTCAGTACTCCGTCGAACACCTCGCGAAAATTGGATGTACAGATAAAATTTGCGTTTAACCTTCTGCCTCTATTCCGTGAAACTTAATTCGCACAGAAAACTCCATCGTTCCTAAAACAAGAGACTTTCAATGTATAAAATTAAGTAAAACAATATTATATTTCTTTTTTTACATTGCCTGACATTAGTTAAATATTTAAATAAATAGATTATTTGAAATTCTGATAAAAAAAAAATGTGATGAAAAAGTTTGTGGAAATTTAGAATCTGGATCGAAAATTAGATAAAATGATAAAATTTTTATTTAATCTATAGAATTTATTGTAAAATATAAATATTGACTTTATTGAACTGTCGTTATTTACTGTTTCATATGTATATGATGTTCCCTTTTATACGGAAAGTATAAATTTTCAATTCCAGTCACTTTTTGCGGAGACTGTACCTAACTCAACCTTAACAAACAAACATTGGGCTTGATGTACAAGGCAGTCCGTGTTCGATCGCGGATGTCCGCATATCCATCACAATCGCCCTGCAATTCCGTATGCGAAGGGTGTGCGTAAAACACTGCTGCGCAGAGCGCCACCCGAATGTGCAACGAATTGCAACGTTGCAATTCGAAAATGTAATCGCGATGGCGAGCCTGGTGCGATATTCCAAGATTCGGAAGTTCATTGAAACTGGCAAGCCACCGGCAAGCAAAGGCGCGGAACAGTACGTGGCACGATAATTACATTATCCATTCAGCGCTCTTAGTTAATGTTGTCGCTTCGCTTTTCCGACGCGGGTATCCCGGTTGTCATATCTCCGCTGAAACTCACGTTAAGTCGGAGGCAACGTATTTCGCCGTAAGCGAGACACACAGGCGGATGTGGCGATATTCGCGTTACTATTCTTGTTTCCGACCTCTTCCGCTGGTCGATATGATCAGTCCGCTTTCGCCTCGCGTTTCCGTCAACTGTGAACATGTAGATGACATAAAGGAAAGACAACTCTCTTCCTGAGATTGCATGAACGCATATTCCTATGCACCGCGACAGGTCCTCACCGCTTGTCACCCACCTCATCCTTTATCTGTGATTGTGTTCCTTAGCTCAACATTACGACATTTCCTTATATTAAAGCCAAGACTAATTTTCCTATAAAATGCAAAATAATTTCGATCATGAAAAGAAAACTCTAAGATATATTTATTACAGGTGCTTAAATCTTATTTTTTAAGCTGATTCTACATTAATTATAAATCGATTAACCGATATACGCTTGTTACGACAGCCAATCAGAAATGTCAAGAGACTCGCAAGAAGCTTGCAATTGATTTGCGACTAATGTTGAATCAGCTTTATCGTTAATCATTTATCATTAATTACGAAGTGCATACTGATTGTAAGAAAAGAAAAATAATTGCAATTATTATCTATGATTTAGTTTAGTCATTTTTGATTCCAACTATATATTTTTTGGTAAAACTATAAATTATTATTACTGCATTATAGCAATAATAAAAATGTTCCCTAATTGTAATCGTTTTATCATGCAATTATGGTCACAAATACTTTTTTCTCAGTGCAGGAAATTCATCGTAATTGTAAATTAAATTCTATAATTCTATCAAGAGATTAAAAATGGAAATCACATCAACATGAATTTTGGGATTTTCAGGTAACCGTGCGGCTCCACCACCGCCGGTTCAGACGCCGCGTGAGGAACCAGTGGCGAAGAAGAAGGAAGAGGAGGAGGATGAAGATGAAGAGAAGAGCAGCTCTTCCGAGGAGACGGAGTCGGACACAGAGGAAGAGTCGGAAACAGACGGTCATCCGTCCAAGACTACTCCAACTACGACTTCCGCTGCTTCTCAAGATCGTCAGAGAAGCGAATCCGCCATGGCGCGCACTGACATTGGGCCTCTTCTTGCTCGCAGTGCTGAAGCTAGGAGAGGAAGCAAGGAAGATTCGCCTTCCACCAGGCAAGTATTTCTCATTTCTAAGAACGGATCCATACGATAAGTGAGAAATTTAGTACTCAATTAATATAGTAATAAAAAAGAAAGTGTCAACTTTGATCTCGAAAAAGATATCTTGGAAATTTTTGGCTATTTTACCTATATAATTGTAAATAAAAAGCTATGGTTTAAATTACGTTTTAATGTATGTGAGAAATAATATTTATTTATATTACAATTGTGATATCATATTACAGAAATTTATTCATAGCAGTTGACAATTAATGTCTTTTCAAATCTTCATTCGTTTGTGTTATCAAATATATATAAAACGCACATTATATAATAATACAATAAAGATTATAAAAAGAATTGAGGTGAAATTGATAGGTGAGGTTATCCTTAATAAAAAGATGGAATGTTAGGAAAATATAGGAAAATTTTCTGCAGAAATTATATTTATCATAATACAAAACAAAAAATATAAAATTAAATATTTACTTATTCAATATCTTAAATTTTTTTCCTTTTCTTATTTGAGATTGAAAAGATTAGTTGCAATCTTGTCTTTTTTTATTCTTCTTTGATACATAGTTCTCAAGCTAATATATCAATCTATTCTTTCTCTCTCGAGAGAGAAAAGATCTCTCTCTCTCTTTTCTTTCGGTACTCAAAAATCAGATGTTGCCAATTTACACGTTCGCTGTTCGCAGAAACTATCACAGAGTTTCCGTGTGTTAGCGCGTGTTTATTTGCGCTCGTTACGAGAACGGCATCGCGCACACGCATCCCAACGTTCTCTTCCGTCGCTTTCGAGAGCATGCGAATACGCTCACTCACGCTGAATTTCAAAGTAAGCTTACCCCACCCTTTCTCTCAACAGTCGCAATCTCCTAGCCCGAAACTGTGGCCTAAGGAAACGAGAGGCGGTTGAGAGAACAGGGAGAGACCAGGCAAAGCCGTAAGTGCTTTCCCTGGCCTGACCCGACGACTCCCTCCAGCTTTTGTAAAAGAATCACGTGGCCTGTTCCCCATCGCGCCCGCTGCTATCAGAAACTTTCCACGTAGCGTTGCGGAAACTGATTAGCCGTTCAGTCTGGCGATGAATTGTAATACATTAGGACGCGTAAATTTGATCGTGAGCACGCATTTGCCCTCGAGAAGCGTGTGATAGAACGGTACATCCATTTTCCATCTAAGAAATCAGTTAACCTTTATTTTTATTAATTGATTGCTCGATTAAAATGCCATTTAGCACACTTTGCTCAAATTTATTCTAGTTAAAAATTGAGAGACTCTTGTTCTATAATCTAGTTTACGTTAGACGATTAATTGTCATCATTATATCTGCAGATTATATAAAATTATAAAGTGACGTCGTGTATTCATCGTTTATTTCTTACGTAACTGAAAATCAAATTAACTAGATGTTGAATTAACTCGAGATATATATATCAAATAAGATAAATACATGCGGTGTAACATCGCCAAAGCTCATTAATCGTGCAATCTCGCGTCTCAGTCCTAATGGAAGACGCGCGATAAGCTTGCTTAACAGCCAGTGGCAGTTAGGAAATAAACGTGACCTCAATTTTAAAGAGAGAAAGATTATCGAAGCCGACGTGCTATTGTACGTCCCTCGATAGGTTGCGTTCTCGAGAACGCAATCAGGCCAGATCCTAAAAGCACTTATCCCTTAGTAGTAATAGTAGTAGTATTAAACCAGAAGTCCAAAGTAAAGAGAAAAAATTCCTACCGATCTCACTCGTGTCTCAGGTATTCGTCGCCGAGGGGCAGCCCCGCGCAATCCGTGACGACGATGACGACGACGATGACAACGCCGAGCGGCGGCGGCGGCGCCGCGATGACGACGACGTCGACGCCGGGCGGCTACACCAGCAGGTTCGTAGCGCACGTAGCTCACGGTCAAACGACTGCTCATGATGAGGCCACTTCTAATTCCAGTAACCCCCTCGACCGTAATCGTTTTAGGGCGTTTAGCGCGGACGGTACCGACGAAAGGTGCTCGGCCGGTCGTGTCGACGACGCTAAAGTAATCGCGGCTACGGCTACGGTCGCGGATTCCGCTTATGACGCCGACGGGGACGTGCTTAAACCACAAGCGACGAACACTAGCTCGGCACAAACGGACGTTATTACGGACAAATCGACCACCTCATCCACCTCTTCCTACCTCGCGATAAGCGAACCCGAAAGTCTCCTCGGGAATAGCCGCGACGATAGTCGAGTTACGAGTGCGACACCCGAAGACGACGACGCATTAGTGCAAGATCGTTCCGGGAACGGAGAGAGTCGCAGTCGGAACGAATCTACTCTCGCGATTGAAGATGATTCTGACACGAGAAGAAACGCCACAGAAGAAATGACATCTGAAAAGCGTGACTTTGAGGACGTTCCTAGTTTCTTCCAAATCGTCGTAGAAGATGTTGATGCATCTGTCGCCGAGAAGTCTATGTCGGATTCTACGAATCAAATCGTTGAGATGATCGACGAGATCGAGCATAGAGATCGCTCGAGGTCCAAAGAGTCTCACAGCATTTCCGAATGTTCGAGTTCCGTTAGTGGCCGAACGATGTCCTACAGCGAATCGGAAAGTGATTCCGAAAGTGGCTCCGAGGAGGAAAACGAGGAAGAAGATGAGTCTCGAGATGAAAACTGCAACGTGAAAAATAAAAAAAAAGAGAATAAGAAGGACGATAGAAATTACGACGATAACGATAACGCGGAAAGCCAGGCTAACGAGGAGAATAAAGAGTCCTCGAACTCCGACAGTGACGAGGAAACCACGGTACTGAGTATTAGCTCGAACATCCAAGGCGAAAGCAGCGCGACGCCTGACGACCGTTACGAGAGGGATCTGAAGCGCCGGAGCGCCTCTATAATCGACGAGAGGAGCATCGAGGAGATGTTCGACGACAATGGCTGGGTGGTGACGGAGCAGGATTTAGAGCAGGATTTACCGAACGATCCGCAAACGGTATCCACGATCCTGTTGGATTTTCCTGAATCTACGGTCGATCGCCCATCTGAACAGACTGCAAGCTATATCGGCGACGTCAACGACGCAGCAGGGACACGTACCGACGAAATTATTCCAAAAATTGCCGAAGAGAGACACAACGAGACGTCTAGCAACCTCGAGGATTCCTCCACACGGTCGAGCATCACCATCGACGACGCTGAGATGGTTCCCTCGAGCGAATGGCAAGGGTTCGAGGTTCCGTCGAGAAGTCGCGTGTACAGACAGAGCAGTCTGGGTAAGAATGGATGGCTGGTCTCCGACGAGTCGGAAAGCGAGTCCGATCGGGCAACCTCTCCAATTGAAGCTTCTCCCGATCGAGGCGTCACTAGAACCGAGTCCGCGAACGAAGCGATTGGGTTCGACGGGATTGAAGATACGGGCGACATCGATGAGAACGGGTGGGTTATACTTGACGACGACGACGACGATGACGACGACAATGACGATGATGAGCTTGACGAAGAGCTCGTAGAAGCTAGCAGCGCGCAGGAGAACACGATTCGTTCTCAAACGATTGACATCGTAGGCTCAAAAACTAACATTGAGAATGGTGCGTTAGTCGCGGACGTTAAGCGGTCGAAGGGCACCGAGCAGTCAGGGCCCGACGAGCACGAGGAAACGCCCGGTGCCAGTATGAGTGTACCGATGCAAATGGTAACCACCGTCTTCTGTGTGTCCGTACTGTGTTACAGCATTCTAACGAATCTGTTCCCCTAAATCCGTCGAGCTCTCTCCCTGACGTTACGCAAATACAAGTATCCTCCGGGTCCTCCCACACTTTCTCTTTGTCTCCCGCGTCGTCTCGGATTCGGCATTCAGGATGAAAGACCGTGGACTTTGCACAAGCTTACGCAGTAATTGACGGGACTGTCTTGCCGCGAGTAACGATGCAGCAGTTTTCCGAGGGAAATACTCCATCTCTCGTTTACTTCACCAAAATGTTCCCAGCAAACACCAACTAACCGGAACATAACTATTAGTCATAATTTCACACTCAACAATATAATTGTAATGTAACATATTATATTACAGTTATATTCTTGAGTAGAAAATTATAACTAACAGTCGTGTTACTGTTGGTGTTTGCTGGATTAACTTTATATTATGCTTAAATTGTGATTAAACTTTTGATTTGTTTCGTAAGACGTGTAATTTGTAGAAACGTAGATTGTATGATATTTAATTCGTAGAAAATATTGTAACTTTTTAAATTGTTTGGCTCTTTTACTGCTTAACTGAAATAGAAGAAAATAGTTTCAAAGCTATTACTAATTAATTATTTAACAAATTATGCGAGTATTAACGAATACCATTATACACATCCGAGTTCCAATTAATATCTGAAAATAATCATATTTCAATTGATTTTTGAAACTAAACATTTTAGAATCAAAAAACATAAAAAATTAATCTATTAATAATATTACGATAGAAAATTTGAGGGAAATAACGAGATTGCAGAGAAATATAAATCAAAAAGACTGCTGCTCGAAACTCACGCGTCTCCTTTGGCCGACGTCGTAAAAAGGCCCGTCGGAGAACATTTACGAAACGTAGCTATTTGTCCACGCTATGCACACGGTAAACCTGCATTTTTACACATTGTGATAGTCGTAATTACGGCCGAGCGCCATTGTTCCTATTATATTTGTCGATCCGCGAAGCGTGACCCCGCGTCGCTGAAATACGGTAACTTCGCGTTTTCTTTGCCCTGCGAGTGCAATCGCACACGCATATATTATTGTCACATGTCAGGTAGAACATAAAATCATAAGATCAAAATGACATCAAGTAGCAGTCATTTTAGGTAAATTCATAATGGTATGATAATTTTATGATTAATTCTTAACACGACAATGATTTTTAAGTAATTTTTTAACTAAAATATTACTTACAAATTATTGTCATGTTAAAGATTATCGCAAAATCGTCAAAAGTGTATTAAATGATATCATTATGATTTTCTCTGAAATGACTTCTATTCGATGTCACCTTAATCTTCTTATTTTGTGTTCCATCTGAGATTCACAGTAGTGAGACATTGGCTACGTTCAAACGAAAAAGTAGCGTTGTAACTGTTGTAAGATTCTTCAATAGTTGGTTTATACTTTTAGATCCTTTGAGGAACTAGAGACAAAATCCAATGATGTTAAAGAATCTTATCAATAGTTGCAAAGCTGCTTTCTCTGCTGAACGCAGCCATTCTTAAATTCGCCGCTTTCGCATTGAGCTTGTTAAAGCCATACCCAAGAAAAAGAGGTAGAAGCACCAGACGTTGGCGGTCGATCCGCGGTGGCCAGGCACCGCGGATCGACCGCCTCCGCACGCGCGTCGCGTTATCTATCATAAGTTTTGTACTCTCTCCTTATAGCGAATAGGCTTACGTCACAGTTTGTCGGTGTGGTAAATAAACTGCATTTCTTTGTGATAACTCGTATTATTTATTTCCCTCTCAACCGTCCTTAGTATCGACGCGCGATAATAAATACAAAGTATCACATCCCTCCTGTAAATCTTGTTCATATAACACCTGTTTTTTCCAGTTTTTCCTTTTTTTTTGTTTTTTCCTGGCTGCCCACTATTTCCTCTGTCACCTTTCACTCTCTGTCCCGAAATCTTTCAGATTCTTACGTTCTCTGGTCCCCAATAAAATGTTTACTGTCCCTGTCCATATGTGTCATCAATGAAATACCAAAGAGCGGGATACGATAAGTACGAGAAGAATGCATATTTATTTATTACACTAACAAATTGTACGCTAGAATCATACCATTGTTAATTGATGAACGTCAATTGTCAGCAGATGGAGACGACAGTTCAGATTCGTATTTCGAGCGTGAGATTATATCTATTCATTATTGGAATGTTTCTCAAAAGTGATCTTTATGCGCATTTAAATCTCGCGACGTTGGTCCGCAGTCGTACCTAAACGTAGTATATCTAACTTTTTTCAATAATTGTTTACTTATTTTTAAGATTCTGTAGTATATGTATTCTATAGTAACGTACATAATATATGCTAAGTGTGCATTTAAAAGTGCAGATAAAAATAAATAACTGTTAAATTCATAATGTCAAATTATACTGAATTTTCGATATTTTTAATTATTTCTATAGATCGCCACTGCTTCTACTCAATATATCATTAATTTAATACAATGGAGTTAAACAATTCAAGAATTTGACTCAAATTTAGTTTATTATTTACCAGTTTATATACATTAATATGGACATTGTTTATTTTAAAACTAAGCAATTCAACCACAGAAATGAATTGATTTTGACATGGCAGTTAAAAATAAAATGTTATTTAACTCAAAGACTTGGATTATCGTTGCTCCTTTGATGTTTAACGGACCATTATTTCTCTGATACGTAATTATCTTTTTAATTTTTTATTTCTTTGGACATGTAACAATTTAATATTGTATTGTGATTATATATTGTGATAATTCCATTTTTTGGCATCTATAAAATCTTCCCCTGTTACAACAAGGTAACAAACAGAGATGAAATCCTTACATTGCATAAGAATCACTTATGAGATTCATTCTGAATGATTCGTGAAATTCTTGCTAATTTACGATATAATTATCTACAAACAGATTTTTTTACACTGAATAACATTTCAGACACAAGTTTCACAATATTGCATGACGTTTTAACTTATGGTATCAATTTTCTTTGTGCACATTTCAAGAGGTATGCATGCTCATTTCTATTGAAACATTATTTCAAGAATATGTTCAAGTAGTAGAACATTGGATCGATTACAAGTAGGTATAAAGGAAATGGAATACCAAGGAAATTCTTTCGGATGGATTGCTTTTGGATGGTAGAATTATTCTTCGGAAAATTCGCAATAAATTTAGAAACTCTATAGAAAAATCTGTGTACTTCACACTATACAATATAACTTGTAACTAACTCATTGCAGTTTTCTATTATGCAATTCGGTCGCGCACTCTGTTATTTTTGCAGATAATAATTTGTTGTGAAAATTAAAATATCAAAAAGTTGTATAATCTTTAATTTCCATGATAATTAATAACTAATTAAAATATAATTTTGATTATAATTAATATGTTCGATATAAATTAGTTATATTTTTCAGTAACAGAGACAATTCCAATGGCGATATTAAAAATTTTATTTGATATTAACTTTATTATTTTTTATTTTAAATGGAGACTACATTGTTTTTTTTTAAACTCTACAGTAAGAATATAGCCAAGTTCTTCAATATAATCTCCACTACAAAAATAGACTTGTGTCGTCGAAAATGGATTACTGCATAATGTTAGACGATATTCTTAGCACGTTGCACCCCGCTCGCCGTTATAACGAATCGACACTGTCGAAACTTCGCAGCTCCCACATAACCGTTTGGGAGAAATGTAGAACCATCGATCCACGCCGCAATCTGATCTACCAGTTTCGTAAACTGGAAACTTCTTACTTCATGACACGTAGGTTCTCCCAATGCACTGGGACTCGACCTAATACGAGCGAAATACGAACTTAGTTGGGGGAGGTTCAGTGCAAAGTCATACAAACCGGGCGTGCGATAAACTATGTTTATACCGAAGTTTGCGGACATTCATGAACTTTCTCAAATTCGAGCAAACCTACACAAACATTGTTTGACGCAATCCGAAAATTTCATCCGCATCGCGCCACTCTACGCAACATCAACTTTGCCCTGGGATGTTAATTACAGTTTAATACAATGAGATTTACATTTCCCCAGTTGTTTGTGGTTAATCAACAATAATCGTTTACAAGAGCTGTTAGTATCTGTAACATGATTAGAGTCTTATACATATGCTAGATGTCGAAACAAATTTAAAATTAAAAATTTTAACGAGATAAAGTCTGAAATAGTCTAAGCATTGCTTAATTTTTTTTAATCTTAAGTAACTTCATTAATATGTTTAATTCTTTTCAAATTTTCCGATTATTTTGTAACAGAATTAAGGATGTTACTTTATGAAAAATTATCGTTACTCGGAACTAATTTTAAAAAAAAGTGCGTTATCATTACCATTACTTATTGTTAGACGGTAATGATTCATTATGTTTTCGTTATTTTTTTTATAATACTGAAATAGGATATTAAATTTTAAAATTACATTATTTAACAATCAACATTAAATATAGTAATTAGTATTAAAATTTTAAATTTTAAACTAATCTCTACATAGCGAACTTTTCTTTATATTAAATTTTCTAATTCCTTATATTAATATTTTTATTTTTAATTTAGTTATATCTTAAAAATTTACATTGTAATTAAAAAACGCAAATATAGATAATAAACACTAAATTAATGAGATAAAACTAACGATTGAATTCGTTACTATTACTATAAAAATATAATAATGTTACAGATAGTTACTGTTGTCGTTAGAAAAAAAAACGTTTACGGTAAAGACGTTACAATTAACGCACTACTTCCCAACTTTCCTGTCTTGTAATTAGTAACTTTAACTTTCGCTTTTTGATAATAATGCTTACGAGAATAATGTGCATGACAAATCATAGTAAAATACTTATCTGCATATTCACCGTAGTCATGTATACAGGATGTCTCACGAATCTGTGATAAAAAGTGCGGCACATCGGTGGTTCCCGATAGTTGCACTCATCCATGGAGCTGGAATCGAATCAGATCAGTGGCTGCTTCGTAAGCATTAGATCTTTCTTTCAAATTAAAGCCAAAAGCGTAAAAAAAAACCCGCAGTGTCACGATCCGACAAGTGTAATGACATCTTCTAGTATAAATTGCTCACTGACGATGAACGCTTCCGGCAAGTGTACAGACCACACTTCAGACGCAATTAGCATAGAAATTAATTACACTGATCTCGCAGCTTATTTCATTGTTATCTCCTTGAATTAATATACTCGAGATGATTTTATGTAATAATAATGATTTTCCATGTCTGTAATAATGCTTTGAGCGATAAGAGGAAAAACTTCAACAGGTATTTTGCAAAGCATTTCCTGTGTGCCCTCATTATTTGTCGTTTGTATACGCTATATAAACTTCAAAGTCATCTGATATGACGTTGATGCGCCCACACTTTCTGCACAACAACTCGAGATTGCAAGAATTTTGTATATCACGGACAATGAATAGATTCGCGGACAATCAAATGCAAATCTCGTTCTCATAAGCTTAATCCTATAAACGAGATAATAGTACCGACACAAAGTCTACCAACATGTACATGAAAAGCAGTTAGTTCCTTAACTTCGTTACTGTGTTACCCCCGAACTCATTAGCGTATGCAATTTACGACACGCCTGTGTATTATTGTGTCTTTTAATATTCGCGTGCAGTGCGCACGCCTCAGTTTCGCATAAATAGCGTTTCCTGCGGGCACACTATACAAAATAAGTTTAATGTAGTACGCTTGTAATTGGTAAATACGTCATTTGTTATTTATACATGGCGTACTGGGGTTTAATCAGTACAGTACTAATTTTGCAAAATGGTAACAATTACGAACATAATTTTCAATTAATTACTTCTTCCAACGTCGAGTATATTTTTCAATGAATATATATATACATATATGTGTGTGTGTACGCATATTCCTTTATCTTCATGAATGTATAACAAAATTACCGCTAATAAGTACAATTATAACGCGATAAATGTACAAGTCGCACAAGCGAGGCACTTCTTTCAATCAATTTTACTTTGAAACTTGAGTTTTTCAATTAAAACAAGATATAGACTTTCCGTTTAGTCGTGTTCACCAATAAACATTTTAGTTATATGATATTGCGTCCATAAGCGCGTCCATTTACACACCGCAGCCTGCACTATGCGGTACGCATGCACCAAAATAGTCCGATGCGAGGTCTCATTCGAAAATACAACTGCAGAGATACTATTCGCTCTCATGATGGGTATCGTCTTTCCCATGTGCGTGTTGGGGTCGAAGCACTCTCACCTATCTTTCAATATTTAGGACGTGCAATTACCTGCGATCTATTTGAATTCAGCTTGAATGATCGCGGTCCAGATTGAACAAGAAAAATAATACTCGAGAATAGTTAAAAAATTCTTTCGAGAAAGTTGATCGCCAGAAAATATGAAGAAATTAGAAACTGACTGTATTGTTTGGATTATCAATTAATGTTTCAAAAATTTGAGAAACGTCTGGGGTAATTCGAATATCCGTTCATAGATACATTAATAAAAATACTTTACAGAACGTGATAATAGAAAACTTAATTGTTGTTTTAACATTTTTACATTTGACAACGAGTCTATTGTGCTTAGACAGTTCACATCTAGCAAATACATGATACAAGAAGATAAGACAAGATTATAAATACTACTCTTTCATTGCTGCTTAATTATGCTAGTATTTTACAGTAATTACTTGTATAAATGTTATTGTTGGATTAAATGCGTACTTATCAAATAGAAGTTTGCTCTTGTATAAATAACTATACGTCACAAAGAATCTTATCAAATTTTAAACCGCAACTTTTATAATTAATGCCCAAGATGTTTGAAAAAATTATTATAAATTAATAATTTTTTATCTTAAATTTTTGTTATCTTAAAACTGATCGTAACAGATAAATTACTCTCTTAAAGATTAAAAAATCGTAACATTGTTTTCATATTTACACTGTAAAGATATTTTTGCAAGAGTAAAGTGATTTCATTTCGCGATATTAACATAAAATGAAAAAAATTCTTAATGCAGATAAACTGAGCGGATTGTTTGCCTGATGTTTCAGATTCTTGAACAAGAGCAGGAGCCAGGCAATGATGGCATCTCGCGAACGGGAACGTGAACGCGAACGCGAACGTGAACGCGAACGCGAACGCGAACGTGAGCGTGAACGCGAGCGAGAGCGAGAGCGCGATCGCGAGCGGGAACGCGAGCGGGACGTGGACGCGGAAATCGACTCGCCCTTGTCGACGAGATCCCGCTACGCAGCTCTGAAGGAACGCCGACAACGTCTTGCCCGTTCCAGAAGCTCGCACAACTTTGGCGGCGACGACCTTGACCTGGACGAAGAACCACCGTCGCCAACAACCCAGTCACCGAATGCTTACCTGGCGGCGAAGTACGGCGCCGGCTCCGAACTGGCACGGAGTCGCAGCACCCACGCCCTAAAGTCAAGAGAGCCGAGCCCGGAACGTGATCGACCGGGCACGGAAAAGGACGGCGCGGCATTGAGCTCTTGGGCCAGATACCTCAAGAATAAATACGGTAACCGCACCACAAAGGACAAGGAACCGCCCTCCTCGTCCTCCACGATACCTTCGTCCAGGTGGGCTCGAGTACACAATTTTTGCTGAGCGAACACGAGATGCAACATGAAAAAACAAAGAACGAGCATGATCTTTGAAATTTGTCGGAGTTTCATATTTATTATAAACATGTATTTGACGAAGCCCCCCACGCACGGCTGTAATTAATTGTCTATTTTCCACATAATGAATATAAATTACGAATCACATTGCAAATAGCATAATATACAATGACGTATAATATCAATAAAGCTTTAATCGCATTGTACGCACAATGGCTCAGAATATTATGCACGCATTGGAATCAATGTAATTATTAGGCATATCACCATATTTATTGCAGATTACATCAATGCACTAGTTTAATGCAGCATGATACAGAACGTTACTATTATGAAAGAAAACGAAATAGCGATCCGATTATATCCATAATTAATTATTATCAGAGATTAATATGGCAAGATTAATATGCTGAGAGAGAAAAATTTGTGATTATCATAATTTAGTTGTATAATTTATCAGTCTTTTCGGTGCCAACTATATATTTTTGATAGATATAATTATACGTATATAGATATAATTTGATAAACATAATTATTACAATTAACATTGTAACAGTAGCAACTATAAACAATCCAAGTATAGAACACGGAGTCATAATTAAATCATAATGATATTACAAAACGTCATCATGACGTCATTTAATACTTAAAAATTGACTTATAAGTGACGAATGGGGTCATGACGATGTCCTCATGATATTATTATGACTTCTATTTTCTACTTGAGAAGATTTTTATGATATTGGTAAAATCTACATTTTATTCTTTTCTGTCGATTTTGTTTTTTTTTTGTTTTTTTCATATTTGATATTGAAAAAGTCACGACACGTTATTTCTGAACAGTCAAAAGGACTTATTTTTCGAAAATCTAAATGTGATGAGTTCTTCCCGTAGATAAATCTTACCAGCAATTAAGTTGATGTCGTCATTTTGACGTCAAATGACTGAGTCAAAATAACGACAAATAATTTGGCAACGCGAAATTGGTAATCACAAATACCAAACACTTTTCTCTCATTGTCGATGCAAATATAATTTTATACGAATGCGAAAATAATTTCTTCAGCACCAGCGCGGCTTCGCGAAGATTGTCGTTAGGTTTGCCTTTAAGGCACACCGGGCAAACATCCTTTGAATCTTCTGACGACGACCAAAAAAACCCGTCAGGCTCCCCCACGTCCCCTACAGCAGCTCCCGTTATACCCGCGGCAGCAGGTTCCTCCACTAGGTAAGTCCTAATCACATTACATTACGTAAAGACACGGGAGATGACGTAAAAGCGCATCTCAAACATCTACTTACATAATTACGTTACGTAAAAGATAACGTAAAAACAAGAGACAAGACAATTTGACAATTCTGGAGTTTCAATTTTCTTTTTTACGACATTACAAATGTTTTCTTCAAAGTTTACGAATGAAAGCGTCGTATCTTCGCGAGATTCAATTTAGAAAACGGCTGAATGCGAGCCGCGAAGTTTTGCTCGGCTTTCCTGTTCCTATTGGCGAAGCTTGTACCTGTGTAAGAGAAGCAAGTTTCCCTGTAATCTGCTTTTCCTCTAGTTCATAGAAAGGACAAGAGACACTACCTGTTAGGAAGAATGCGTGTGGCTTTCTAAATATTCCACGGACAAGCATGCGCTTGAACTGTGAGAGGTCCGTCGGCGAGGAACCAGCCATTGCAATCAAAACACTTTATCCTCGTTATCTGCTGCACTGCTCTCCCCAGGACTTCTCTCGCGGCCATAATTCTCAAAGATCTACCGCTGTTTCTACTGGAGTGAAACATCGCGTCTCTCTTGAAAAGTGGATTTACGAAAAACATTCCACTAAGAACAGCGTCACACACAATGAAGATACAGAGCTCCACTATATCCGAGTTTGCTTCTTTCACTTCCTCCCTTGCGCTTTCTCTCTCCCCCTGCACTCTTTTCGCAAACTTTTCTTAATACAATAGGGTTTCGGGAGTTTTATCAGATGAAGAATAACTGCGTTCATCACGCGAATGTTTGCGCGTAACCGCATGATTAACTGTGCGACCGGACGATTCTTTGGAGAGATTCATAACTGCCCGGAAGATGGAAAATCTTCGCGTAATGAGCTTTATTGACCGTTCCGTTAACTGATTCTAGCAATGGTCGGAGGAGTCATTACTTGCTGAAGCGGCGGCAGCTGTTTAAGTTTGGGATGCGGGGGAGCGAAGCCGGATGCTTTACCTGGCCGAGAGGCCTCGCAGTCGGCCCGGACAACTCCATCGTCGTGGCCGACAGCTCCAACCATCGTGTTCAAGTAAGTCGTTTTTCTAATCTCAAAATTAGTCGTCCTTAATCACTTTTAATCATACAACACTATTGAGAGTATTGCTGCACTGAGAAAAATTTCTGGTTGAAAATAGACGAATCGGAAGATTCTAATCATATCAATTAGCATTCCAGTCATCACAATAATTAAACATCTGGCTATTTCGATTAAATGTGACACGTAAATTTTACGTCAGAGAAAATAGGCCACTTTTAGTTAATATAGCAGAAGATTTCCATACATTTTATACTTTTAATAATAAAATGTTTATAATGTAAATCTTTATTATAGATACAGCTTAATTATTAACTTAAAGGAAAAGAAAGAACAAGCACGCTATCAAATTCAATCTTGAAATGATGTGAAATATGTGTTAAATGTCTTCTCGTAATTCACTTATCAATAAAATATATAACACAAAACTGCTCAAAAATTGAAATCACTTATGATTTGTTATAATATTGATCACCAGGGGTCTATAACGGAATTTTTAAATGCTTATCCCAGTTTTTAGCCTAATAGATTGAACCTTTTGATAAATACTGAATACGCAGCTCAATGATATTGCTCACTTGCACATCGAATTTACATACAATAGCGTTCTAAAGTTAAATACAACATTAAATGCGAGAAGTGAAATTATTTGACAGATCAATTGGTATAATAAACTTCCAATGATAAAACTATTAATTAACTATTAAAAAACTAATAGAAAATGACATTATTTGTAAAAAATTGTAATTCTCACTCGTTCTGCTGTGCAGTAATTTCTTCAATTCAATATTGGCAATATGTGTGCCTCGATAAATCAATCGCGTCGCTTAAAGCAATAATAGTTAACTCGATATGAGTTCATAAAGCTGAAGTACGAAGCCTTCAGAATTTTACGGGCGCCCGCATAATATCGACAACCGTAAATAAGATACGGGAAAAAATTCCTCGTCCTAGTCTTGGTTATTGCAGTCGGCCGATTTTATAGTATCGGCCCTCGACGTAAACGACTGTATACCGCTCGGTCCGCAGGTATTCGACGGTAATGGGAACTTCATGAAGGAGTTCGGAACGTACGGCAGCAACGAGGGTGAGTTCGATTGCCTTGCCGGGGTGGCCGTAAACCGAATCGGGCAGTACATCATCGCGGACCGCTACAACCACAGGATCCAGGTGCTCGATCCATCCGGCCGCTTCCTACGGGCCTTCGGCTCTCAGGGCACCGCTGATGGCCGATTCAATTATCCTTGGGGCATCACCACCGACGCCCTGGGATTCATCTACGTATGCGACAAGGAGAATCACCGCGTACAGGTGCGTACCTTATTGGTACAAAGCTAATCGAATACAATAAATATCAGTCAGCTAATTAATCATTTGAGAGAACGTTGATTAACATAAAATTCTATTTTGCTCACTCGAAAATATTTTCTTGATAATATTAGATAATATGAAATTGCAGACAGCGAGGAAAATTAAGCTTAGCAAATTTCAATGTTTTATCTTCTTGATTCTCCGGAATTGTCGCAAAAATCCGTAATACGGTTATACTGCTACTTAGTTTGTGAAATTTATTTAATATATGTTGATTAAAAGACAGTAATTAATTTCAAGGAACCAAAATATGATATAACTTGTACAAAAAAGAATACTAAATATTAAGTTTATTTTAATAATAAGTGAATTTGCAAATGTAACATAAAAAATTAAATTACTTGATATTTTTATGTAAAATGGCAATTGCTACAATAACAGATACAAGAATTAAGAGCTAATAGTAAACCCAAATATAATAATTATAACTATGCTATTTTTATATTAGCATTACTTTACAAAGAAAATTGAATTATTTTTACTCATCAGAATCTTTATTGTCTAAACAATCACTGGATAGTAGGTCCAACAGATCCATCGTCAGCTCCGGAAAGATATAATTGAGTAGGTCCAATTGACCCATATTGGCTCCGGAGAATGAATTGTGATTATTAAAAGCACCGCATCTTAAGCTAACTTCAGTAACACTATTTGACCACTTTGGAATACCTGATTGTTCGCAGGTATTTCAATCGGACGGTACGTTTGTGGGTAAATTCGGCTCATGCGGTAGCGGACGCGGCCAGTTAGAACACCCGCACTACATCGCGGTGAGCAATACCAATCGAGTGATCGTCAGCGATGGCAACAATCACCGCGTGCAGATATTTGACGTGAACGGCCGCGTGTTGACGTCTTTCGGTTCGGAGGGCTCAGACGAAGGCCAGTTCAAGTTCCCGCGGGGTGTCGCCGTAGACGATCAAGGCTACATCATCGTCGCCGACTCTGGCAACAACCGTATACAAATTTTCAGCCCCGACGGCGCTTTCCTCAAGTCCTTCGGCTGTTGGGGCAGCGGCGATGGTGAATTCAAAGGTCTCGAGGGTGTAGCCGTCACGTCAACAGGCAACATCGTCGTCTGCGATCGCGAGAATCACCGGGTTCAAGTATTCTGAGTTCGTTGATTATTAACACTGAAGGAACTCTGATCTTTTATCAAACGAATACCTATTGTATTGGCCGATATTTGCGTTTATTAGCACTTTTAATAATGAGCAAATATTCAGAAAATATTTTTAGACAACACCGCATATTTGAATAAAAGAATACATTGATGCCTACAAGTCTGAATAAATATCTGCGAAGTTAAATGCCAATAATTTCCAATAGTTTACTCGCACCAACTTTTCAATCTAAAATTTCTAACAAATATTTAGCAAAGCTCGAAATTGAAAAAAATAAGAAATAACGTAATTTTATTATAGAGGGTAAATTATGGTAATTTTATATTAAAATTAATATATACAATATTTTGAAAAATATATTGGATTTTTTAATTTAGTGATTTTTAATAGAGATTTTTTGCACATGTCTTATTAAATTTGTTTCTAAATTAAAGATGAGATGTTATTACACATATAGTCTGTTTCATTCATTCGCTATAAATATTAACATAGATTTTTTTTATTTACCGCTCATAATTGGAAATCTTCTCGTAAATGTTATGAAGTTTGTTATAATTTATTTCACTCTTCATTGTCCAGGAAATAACTTTCATTGTCTGACCATAATAAATTCATCACGTTCGTGTAGTTTTGTCTAACAAAATGAAGCGTGAAAATAATCTTCTCTGCAAAGTGATGACTTTCGCGCCTCTCCATGAATAAAAAAAAATCTATTGTCGTAAAAATGAAAACGATTATTTATCACAGATTGCATTGTAAATGATTAACTCTGATTGATGTGAGTGAAAATTTGAATTTAGTATTTTTGTTGCTGAGATTAATGAAATAATTTATCTTTACTATTATAATATTATTTTTACACAGGATTGATTTATTATCTAATGAACAATTTGAGGAAAAGCTCATAAATTTTGATGATTATTTACCCTCTTTCTATTTTTCTTGTTTTTGCAATCATTGGAACCGCTGGTGGAAATTGACAGAGTAGAAAATACCAGGAATTTTTTGTTTCGAGCTAATTTCTTTATTATTAAAAAATTTCCGAATGCACACACACAAGCCAATCTCCCTGCGTTTCGAGTTGCGAAACACGTAGATCTGCCATTGCTTTTCTGCGGTTTACCGCGGATAGTTCCTCGTGTCACTTTGACGAATATTGGATTCATATACTCGCGTGCACGACGTGATATAGGATGAAAGAAATAACGAAACGGACGGAATGGCAGAGAGAAAAGCTTGAAAAGAAAAAAAATAGAATAGCAATCGTATCGACGAGCGCAACGACGCGTGAATAGAATCGCTCGGCAGCGAGCGGTCCAAATTCTCGGAGAAAATCTTTTGAACCCCGGTCGATTCTCCGCTTTGAAAAATACGCACGGCCATGTTTGTCTTTTCCCTGTCTATCTCACATCCGCTATCTCTCCTGCCTGTCTCTCTCCTTCTCGTACACGCACGATATCCGAGCGACTTAATTTAATTTATATGCAAAGTGACAGCAAATAAAGTTTGTACCGTTTGTATGCTTTAAATAAACTGTTGCGGAAGGAAGATGACAAGGTAAATCTTTTCTGAACCACCCGCCTTTTGATCTCCGGGATGTATTATTTTTTGCGTTCTCTGTAAAACAGTTCAGACAGTTTAGATAAAGCGAGAAAGGATTATTACTTCCGTACTATGAATACGATCGTTAAATTTAGCGGTTCGCGAAGTCTTGGTTCGGTACTCCACTTGAGAGAAATAAGCAGTTGAAACTGGAAGTTTGTCTTATCAATAGAAGTATCAATAGAAGCTCTACAAGCAACTTCTACGACGTATTCTAAGATCATTATTTGCCTGGATATTCCTTTAACTTGCCGTAATGATATTATTCGCTATATATCCTGGTCCAGACGTAACTACAATATCCGGTGTTCATACTAAATCACCTCTCGTATTATTTTATTACGGTTTAATTAATGAAGGAAAATTATTCACAACGTAATCTCTCCAATACTATTTTTGTACTTTCCGACAATTTTTTTTAACAAAGTGTATAATTTTTCTCATAATTTACTAAAGGATATACTATAACCGCGCATTCTTCCTTATCATTTGTAAATATTCTGAAACTTATAATTACCTGAATATTAGCGATAATTATCAAAGTTTGGTAGTGTCACCTAAAATGTTTCGGAGAAGAGTCACGAGAAAAATAAGTAGATCAGGAAGGAGGTGAGACAAGTGAAAAGGTGAGCAGGGCAAGTGAAAAGTAAGTGTGAGTCAATAAATATATAATTTATTAAATGCAATGTGATGAAATGGTGTAACAATAGAGGGGCGGGCGAAACGACGACCGTTAATGATCGCCGCGAAGGCGGATAAGAGATAATACGCCACCCCCGCCCGGCGCCCCCCCGGAGATCGGAAATATAGATAAAATATTTTCGTTATTATTTACAATATTAGTCGAACGTTAGTCAATAAATAATAAACAGTGGCATAATCCCTTTATTTAATAATATAATTTAATTATATATATAATATATATAATATTACGCTTGCGATAATAAAAATATTACAAGAGATGGAGCCTTTACCGTTATTCGTTTCCGCTAGTAAAATCTAGCACGTACGTGTCACATCTATGCGTCGTCCTCGTTCCGAAACTTCCTGATTTCGGGTACTCGATCTCGGTTACTCGATCTCTCGTCAGGCGATTACGCAGTAGATAATAACGTGAGAGGATCGAGGATTCTTCGCGATCGCCCGAATTTCGAAACGCGGAAACGCCAAGAGCGGATTGATGTCGAAATAGCCGTCGAAACCATCATCAACATTTCGAGAAAATTGCGCTCACTCTCTCTCTCTCTTACATTCTCTCATTCTCCCTCTCTCTCATTCTCATTCTCTCACTCTCTTTCTCTCCCTCTCTTTCTTTCTCCCTATCGCGAAAAAATCGACGATGGGACTGAACAACAAATGGCAAATCAGCTCGATTCTCGACGTACGTGGAGAAATGATTTTCGCAACGCGTCAGATTATCACAACGAAATACACGCGACATGCTTGGACGTTATCAATCGTCGAGCGGAGTAAAAAGGCTGTGTGCGTGTGTGTGTGTGTGTGTGTGTGTGCGTGCGCGTGTGCGTGGGTGTTGTGTGTTGTGTGTATGGGTGTGGGTGCGCGCCCAGACAGCACAGATCGCTCTAGCAATATTGCAGCAGCATTGTAACGTTGCAATATTGCAGTCTTAACATTGAAAACGTTGCAGCAGTAATTATGCATTCCGTTGTTCACTGGTAATACTAATAATCTCTAATTTACGTTACATATACTGTTGATTTTCAGTATTCATAGCGAGTACTGAACGCAGCCATTGTCGCAAGTTTCTGTGCTGTATGGGTGTCTTTTGTGTGTGTTTCGTATATGTTTATATGGTATGTAAACGCCGCCACGCGAGACTGGGAGTTGTGTCGTGTGTAGGATCAGGCAGGCAGCAAGCAGGTACAAAGTGACCGTCGCGACGAAGGAACAACGTATCTTTGGGTCTCTGTAATTCTTCGTGTGTCCCAAAGTAGGACAAGTCACAATAACGTGTCAAAATGATATTAAAATGAATTGTGATTGATTGAAAAGTGACTTTTACTCAAGGAACAGACCAAGTCACGAGAGAGTCAAAATGACTTTATTTTGACGTCATGAGAGTCGAAATGATGATTTTTTTGTTATAAAATTTGACTGTTTAATGGCGTTAAGAATCAAAATACAATCAAAATGACGTTAAAATTAATCGGAAAATGATTGAAAAATGACTTTTAATGATCATTTTGAAGTAATTTTGATATCATGATGACTTGTTCTGCTTATGGGTATGTTCCTTGAGTACTAATCATTTTAGAATCATTTTGACGTCATTTTGGTGTCACGATGACTTGTGCTCTGTTTGGATCTGTGGTACTTCGTGTAATTCTGTGTACTATAATTCTGTGTTTTCGTGTGTTTCCTGGTATCCCCGGTGTCTGTACAAATTGTGATAGGCACCGATCCGATCGTTTCGACCCTTTCGACATCGTGCAACGCGCGTCGGACGCCGCGTGTTCGCGCGATCACGAGCCCGTGTCCCGCCGTGCCCTGCCACGCGATAAACTCCGGATGATCGTGCCGAACATTTCAATTCTTTTTCTTTTTTTTTTCTATTTTGTAAAAAATATACGCAAGAGCTTCCGCGAGAGATATATCAGGCTGCGTTCAGAAACGTTACCCAAGCAGAACCACAAGTCATTATAATATCAAAATGATGTCAAAATGACTTCAAAATGATTAAAGTCATTTTGCAATCATTTCCGATTCATTTTAATATCATTTTGACATCATCGCGACTTGTTGTTCTGCTTGGATATCCGAGTATCCTCTTATCCTTGTTTAACGTTGGGTGATAAAACGATATATGGAAGCACTCGGGTGACGTTTTCGGACGCAACCTCGGTGATGCCCGGAGCCGTGACGGAGCAACTTCCGTTTCGGCGCTTGCGGTCCTCGAAACCGCGATATCCCACATCCCGACACGCCAAAGCGTACTTCCGATTTGCGACGTCGGAACTCGCCCTTTCGCGTCCCCCCGTGATTTCGGGGATACGCGATTCTTGAAACACGGTTTCGCGGTAGGGCAGGTATAGGTTTCTGGCGGGCTCGCGACAGCAAAAACCGCACGGGCAAGCCCCGTATAAACGCGCCGTCTCGTGCGAATCTAGAGAAATGGACAATTGGAAATATCTCGAATCTCTATAGCGCGAATCTCGATCGTTCCTGATTTTTAGAAGAAGAATTAATTCCTGTTAGTTTTAATCTTGCTTTTAATAGTCCGCTATTAATATACCTACTGATTCGTCTCTGCATCTAGAGAGTAGTTTGAAAAGTGGCATGAGATAGAGTGTGTTATAGGTATCTTTCTTTTTTTTCTCATTATTTCCCATCTGTTGTATCGAGATTAATTGAGTAATAAAGTTATAATTATTTATTTAATTAATTAAAGTGGCAGCAGTTAGGCCATGCGGCTCCTATCATCTAGTCGTCTTTGACTCTTGGCTTCCTTACGTAGAATTTAAAAATTTTTTTTTCTCCTTTACTTATTAAACTTCTTTTTATATTTTGAGAATAATTTGTATTATATAAATGACTTTTAAAGTTTATGTATTCATCGAAGCGCCTATCCTAGCGATGTCTTTAATTAAAATTATTCTCTTTCTCAGCAGTCTCCTCCCTTCTCGTTTCCTCTCCACATCCCGTCTCTCAGCCCTTGACCTAATGAATACCTTCGCCCAGCTTGCCCTCGGTGTACGTGGTTAATTATGTAATGAAAGTGGAGCAACGGCGAAACTTCGGAAATCTCGCGCGGTGTCGGTGTGTCATTCCCTGTCCGCCGTTCCGCGGGTAAAAAATATTGTATTCAACTTGTCTTACGAAGACCCTGGTGAAAAGCGAACAGTGCACCCCGTCCTCGATCGGTTGCGTATATGATTGCGTCGAGGACTTTGTCTTACCGCCGAGACCGCGCGCGCGTGCCGTATCGTCTTTCTTCATTAATTCTTAAATTCGGAACCTGATTGCCACGCATAACGACAAGCCCGACTAACTAGAATTATCCCTAACTTGAGACTTCATTCATCATCATCATCGTCGTTATCGTTAACGCCTCTCGTGCCCGCTACGCGTTTATAATCGCTAGCCCTCGTTTAATTAGATTCTTAAATATGTAATAAGCAAAAATATGAATATATATAATAATAGTTTTTCTTGTGTATATAATAATTATTATTATTTTACTCATTTTTTAAGTATTTCGATAGGATCGTGATTATTTTAATTAATTAACAATGATTAAAAGAGTGTAAGAATTTGTTATCTTTCCTTCTTCCTTCCTTCTTTCCTTCCTTCCTTCCTTCCTTCCTTCCTTCCTCTTCCCCGCCCTCCTCCTGGTTCCCGCGCACGCCTCGCCTCTCTTTTTAATAACTAATAACCCTTTAAGCTTAATGGCATGAAAATGCTCGTTGGAATTGACTCATGTGTACAATATATATTGTGGTAATACCCCAACTCGCGCTCCGCAATTACATCGCTCTATTAGATCTCACAAACCGCTGTGAGTTCTGCGAAACACACCCCGAGGGGAGAGGGTCGATATGGGTTAATTTACTGTCTCGAAGAAATTCGGCAATTCGAAATTCCGCAGCATCCTTTACATTTTCTTTTTTTTTTTTTACGACGCACGGTATCGACGCATTACTCCCCCGACAGATCCCGCACGGCGTAATATCGGCTCGCCATATTATCTCTCGGATCCTCTATCTATCCGTTTGTCTGTCTGTCTGTCTCCGTTTCTTCCTTTCACACTTCAGAGCGAGAGCTCCCGCGTGCGTGAACACGCACACGGAGACGTACGTCGGAGACACATGGATTTTTATCTCCGTCTCCCCTTGTCCCTTGCGCGGAAATACTTTCTTGGATCACCATTAATTTATCACAATAGACGTTTGTCCACCCGATCAAAACTTTGAACGCCGGGACAATTCACGCCCTTCGCGCGCCGTGCAATCGCGCGCGTCCGCAATCAACTACGCCCTTAATTTAACCGCTAATTATATCTTTACGCTAGAGAACCTTTAAAAAAATCCCCTATCGGAGAGAGAAATGGTAGGTAGTTTTTTTTTTTGTAACAATGTAATCGACTAGCTTACATTCTAAAAAGTAACTCTACGAAGTTGATTATACTGTGACTAGCACAGCCCGTGGATGAAATTGCGCCCTTTGGACGAAGGGCCAGTTCATTTTTTTTCTCTTTTCTCTTTTTTTTTTAATTCTCCTGTAATAATTCCTCTTTTCATTTGCTCCTCGCTCTATTTCCCACTATTTGCTCTCGCTTTCTCTAAAATTTTCTAAAATCAAATTATAGCACTTTTCGTTCACTTTGCGTCTCTTAAGGAAAACGAATGTCGTACACGAAAGAGATCGTTTCTGCTACGTTATGAATGATAATTTCTCATCTAATTATGTACAGTAGATTCTCGATGCTGCGCTATTAGATTTGCACTAAATGATAGAAATGCAGTGCTCAGCTTCGCGTATCGATCGAATTTAACTATGTTTCTTGTAAAAATATAGAAAAAATGTCTAGCTCGAAGGAAACCGACCAAAATAAAAAATCTAATCTCGTAATTAATATTTTAACTGTGTCCTAATTCGCGTATTTAGAGAATTTCACTTTCGCTTTTCATATTTCCGAGAATTATCTTATCTATCATATTAAAATATAATTCATTAGTACTTTTAAAATCAATTTCACATCGCTTCTTCATATTCTGATTGTTCACTCATTCATTTAATTATCTATTAGCGTTAATTGAACTCAAAATCAAACAGAAATAAGAGTGTACCAGGAAACAATTCCGAAGAAATTTAAACGCAAAGATTTCGTATGAACTTAGGGCAATTTTCCTTCGATCAAAGGTTTTGTTTTTTTTTTCGTAGATGCTATCCTTTCTCGATACAGTCCTAGCCGCAGTTTCGCCTAAATCGATTAGAATTATACATTTAGAAGTAAAAATCGATGAGAACATATCATAAAGAAGAGTGAAAAATATTACTTGTTTCCTATGCAAGATTATATAGTGCATGTAATCACGTCGAAAAACAGCATAATAATTTCTACATAAAAATTTCTTTGTTATAAAAAATGGTAAAATTACGACGATGAACAGTATAATATTGATGACACAAGTCGATAGAATTCTCTCTTTTTAGGTAAAAACAATCTTTAATTTCTATAGTGTATCTCATTTTTATTGTTTCAAAAATTATGAGATTTATTAAGTTAAATTGAAAGTGAATTTATAATATATAAATTACTAATAACTATATATATTTTATAATAAATAAATTACTAAAAACGAACTCTGCGTTTCATTATGTTGCATGTTACAATTTTCAAAATTCATATAATCAGTTTATGTGTTTTTCGTTCGAGGAAAGAAGACTTAAATCCGATCGACTGGTGTAATCAAAAGAGAAACACATGTCTGCATTTATGAAGAGCCTCGAAGAAATATTTTGTTTCGAAAAGACCTGCGGTTTCTCGTAGAATTTGCCGATGGCAAATTCGCCAGCTATTTGAACCTACGAAAGCGACAACGATTTTGTGCGATTCAGCTCGGTGCACACAAGGATTTAATAAAATTTCACGGCAACTTCGATGTTGTCGCGATGTATAACAAGGAATCGACCTATATGTTCGACTAAGCGGATCTCGTACTCTTGAAGAGACACGATACGTATGTCTTACAAGAGATACGATACGTGGATACATATGTCTTACATTTTAAGCGAGAGGAGAAACTGTATTCTACAAGCTTTTTCAGTCGATCGATCTCGTATAGATTTTTATAGCAAACCCACTTACGATAGGCTCGCCTATTTACTGCTACTCCAATACTCGCTCGAAGAAGATGCAGGGACGCATAGAGTGCGATAATAGCGTAAGATACAAGCGAAATAAACGAGCGGTCGAGAATGAGACGCGGTGTTAACTCAATAATAGTGTGAGGGACAAAAAAGATTGAATAGGTAAGACTTGACGTTGGTCAACCATCGGGTACGCAAATCAGAGACGCAGAGAACAAAACCGTATATCATCCGTGTCGTACGTCTGGTACCCTCTCGTAATAGTTGTAGTCGTCGTTGACAACCTCGCATACTCCCTCAGAGCATCGCGACGGCCGTTCCGGGGCGTCGTTCACCAACGGCTCTCGTCACCGGTCGTGTTATTTCGCTACCGAATTATCGCCGCCGCTGCTCCGCGTGCCATTGGACTGACTGTTAACTAGGTGACCCCCGGGCTGGCGACTACTAGGCTGGCCCCTGGGCTAGATGAGGGCGAGCTTTGGGGGACAGCAGCCGCCCGTGAAATGACCGCTGGCAGCCTCCCGTTCCCGTTTGCGACGGCCTTGGCGTTCTGCAGCCTGATTCAAGAAATATACGCTTTATATAAAAAAACACGCATCGTTCGCGCGTAAGTGCACACGTGACACCGAATAATCAGGCAGTATATACCGGAAGGCAAACAAACGCATCTATAAGCGCTCCCCTTAATACTTTCTCATTGACGGTCAAAAATTCACCAGACAATAATAATTAGAAAATTTAGAAATCGTAGTTCGAATATTGTTTGACAAAGAGATGAGTCTGTTTGTTCTAAAAGAAAATAATAAGTGTACATAATACATGTATTAAGATTATTTCTAATTTAGTAAGTGTAACCCACACAGCACAGAATATTTATGATAAATATTTATTAATATTCATTGTTTGAAATGTTATATAGATATTTCATACATATTTTATATATAAAGCTTTATTCGAAATATTATTAAAATATAGATTAAACATTTTATATAATATTTATGATAAATATAAATAAATATTTCTAATAAATATTTTTTATTTGGATTATAATGTTTCATTAAGTATTTTTATAGCACTTATAACACTTACAATAAATATTTTTCATAATATTTATAATAAATGTTTATGATTATTGCAATCTAAGACCACAAACATATTTACAAAATATTTAAAATAAATCTTATATATATTTATGAATATTTTGTAAATATTTTATAAATATTGTGTGCTATCTTGGAATATATTTGTTTTACTGAATATTCACATTATCCATTATTGAAAAATAAATACATATTAATTCTGATATCTCATGGAAATATTTAAATTATTTAAAATTATAATGTATACCAAAGCAAAATACAAATGCTAGTTTTTAAGTTGTTTAAACATGCGGTGCATTTTATCCGTCTACAAGTTATTGGCAAAATGATTAGTGAACAATTCGCAGGTTTTATGCCGCTAAACGACGAGTATACGATTTTGTTGTACAAATCCATAAAATATACCATTCAAACAATAAACACGAAGCATCGCCAAATATATGAAACATAATATGACACGTATAGTATCTAATTTCCGGTATATAGATGTGTAACTCGTTAATTTGTGTGTCGTGAAATAAAGTGCAGATCAAAAGAAAGGGAGGGGGAGGAGAGAGAGAGAGAGAGAGAGAGAGAGAGAGAGAGAGAGAGAGGGGGGGGGG